TCTGACCTCATCCTTAATATGGATTGGTTGCAATGCAATCATGCCAAGTGTAACTTTAAGGCTTCTCCCCTTGTCTCATACTTCCTTATATTTCATCCATTCCTCTCACTTTCGTACATTTTTGTCTCTTTACTTCTACCTCTGCTTCCATTACTTTTGTCCCCCCACTATTTCCTCCTATGTTTCCATCTTGTTCTACTCTTCCCTTTTCCGATCCCTCCGACAATCTTTGTGCTGCAACAGTGGCCTAGCTCATGAAGGAGTATTTTGATCTCTTTGAATTTGATTTATCGTCTAGGGCTAAGATTGCCACACATCATTCGATTCCAACCAGGGATGCTTGTCCAATCAAGGTTCCTGTTCATCATCGATCACCCAAAGAAATCAAGATTTTATATGCAAACGTCAAGGAGATGTTGGAGAAGGGTGTTATTCAGAAGTCACGGAGTCCTTAAGCATGTGAACCTCATCTTGTGATAAAGTCTGATGGGAGTATTCGTTTCTACATCAACTATCATCCATTAAACAAAGTGACAATCCCGAATGTGTACCCTCATCCTCACATTACTAATCTCTCAGATCGTCTAGGGTGAAGTCGTTGGTTCACCAAGCTAGATCTTGCTTCTGGGTACTGGCAAGTACAGATGGCCGAAGAAGATATTCCTAAGACTACTTTTCGTACACCATTTGGTTTGTATGAGTTTTTGGTGATACCGTTTGGTTTGAACAGTGTTCCAACAACTTTCTAACGGATGATGGACAAAGTTCTTTGCGATATGGCAGAAGTGACTACTGACTTCATTGATGATGTCTTGATCCACTCGAAGGGGACGTGGGAGGAGCACATTCGTGATTTTTGTAAAGTGTTGGATCAGCTACGGGACGTTAGTTTAAAGCTGAAGTGGTCGAAGTGCGTGTTTGGGTCCAAGGACACAACTTATCTTAGGTATCGTATTTCTCATGAGGGTTTGCAAGTTGATCCTGACAAACTTACAGCTATTCTAAAGTTCCGAAGTGTGTGAATGATGTGCAGCGCTTTCTAGGCAAGGTGCAATATCTCGGTCGTTTTGTGGATCATCTTTCTGATTGCACTACACCGTTGCAAGCATTGCTGAAGTCATCAACGTCATCTTTCATCTAGTCTCTAGATTGTGAACGGGCATTTGTGGATCTTAAAGAGCTCTTGACAACCCCTCCGATTTTAGCATATCCTAACTACACTTGATTTTTTATTTTGCGTGTGGATGCTTTTGATATTGGTTTTGGAGGTGTGTTGATGCAAGAGAGCCCGAGCGTGCTTGGTCAGCGCCATCCCATTGCATATATAAACTGTACATTACAACCAGGAGAGGTGAATTATTCAACGACTAAGAAGGAGTGTTTAGCAGTAGTCTGGGGTTTTGAAAAACTTCATACATATCTACATGGTTCTCAAATGTTACTTAAGGTGACCATGCTGCCATTACTTCATTATTGAAGTGAAAGAACCTAGTTTGTCGTACTGCTCAGTGGGCTTTGAAGCTTCAAATATATGATTTTGATATTGTTCATCGCCCTAGGAGTTCTATGGGTAATGCTAATGCCCTTTCTCAAGCTCCTCTTCCTTCTCCATTTTCTTCTCATATTTCTAATGAGTCTGTTATTCTGGCATTTGTAAACTTTCTAGACAAGGATTCTATGCCATTGATGGTTGCTATACTTAATGTTTAGTGTCCATAAGGTGCAGAGCAGGATCTACCTTCTCTTGACGAGGTTCACGAGGCTCAAAAGCTTGAGCCATGGATTCGAAGGTTTCGAGATGGGTTTGAGAATCTTGCATCACTTGTTGATGACTTGCCATTCTGGCATTTACATTCTCAATATCGCGTTGAAGATGGCCTTCTTTATTTTGTGGGGACAGATCCTAATGATCCTTTACGGCTGATGGTGCCTTCTATCTTTATTCCACGGTTTCTCCATGCTTACCATGATTCTCCTATTTTAGGTGGGCATATGGGACATCATCATGTGACCGAGAAGCTATGCAGGTTTTTCTATTGGCCGGAGATGCAACATGATGTTATCCAGTATGTGCATAACTGCATTTGGTGCCAAGCTCGTAATACTCCCCCTCATGCTGCGGAAGGACGGTTGGAGTCAATTGTAGTTTTCCGTCTGTTTGAGTTGGTGGTGTTTGATCTTATAGGACCTTTTTCACGATCGACTTCTAGCAATGAGTATGTTATTATTACTTCTGACTACTTGATTCGTTGAGTGGAAGTTAGTACTCTTGTTAGCGCCTTTGCAATTGCTGTTGAATACTTCCTCTTCAATTGAGTAGTGTTTCAACATTCCTATCTAGAGTGGATTCTTTCGGACAATGGTCCCACATTTATGGCTGAGGTATTTCATGTTTTGACATCTCGGTTAGGGATATGCCACACTTTCATGAGTGATTATCATCCACAATTAGATGGTTTGGTAGAACGACTCGTTTAGACGTTCAAAAGGATGATCGCGAAGTACATGAACTTTCAGCATTTGGATTGGGATGGTTATTTATCGTCTCTTTGGTATACATATGTGACAAGGGTGCAGAGTTTTGTTAGTGCTTCACCATATAAACTTTTATATGGTTATGATCCAATATTACCAATGGAGCTAGGTTTACCTTCGCAATTGCCACGAGCTGCCGATGCTAGGTCGTGGGATCAGTATTTGACAAGCATTCTTCCACTAGTTCGAGCGGAGTCTGCCAAACACTTAGACCACGTACAAGTGGGACAACAACAGCGCTACAACTCCTATTATCGTCCACCTGCAAAGTACAAAATGGATGACTTGGTATTAGTTTGTTTTCCCCATCTTACAGTATATGGTTTATATAAAGGGCTTCTTGCTTAGTGGAAAGGACCATATCAGGTGTTGTGGCAAGTTGGACCACAAGTTTATGAGGTCCGGTATGACATCTAGCAAGCCAATCCTCCAAAGATTGTGCATATGCAGCAGTTGAAACGCTTCATACCAAGGGATCAAGAGCAATTAATACCACCTACAGATCTGCCGATGCCTCCTCCTGACGTTCCTCTTGATCCCGGCCCATTTACAAGAGAACCTTGATGGTCTTCCATTATTCCGAAAGGAGGGGATGATGTAAGGCCAAGTGTACGGCTACAATGCCGTATACTAATATTAGCGTAGTGGGATTTTGGTAGCCATCGGATTGGTTTCAATTCAGACCACTCGCTTCTATATATAAACTAGGGTTTTTGGGTTAATTGATATGCATATTTTCTGTATTCCCTTTCCATATTCCATGCACTCACAAAAAAAATATCTAAATGAAGTATTATATTTTATATTAATTCTAGTCTAAAGTTACTTCTTTATGTATGTATTATCTTTGGAATCTACTCATTTACTTTTTAATGCAATTAATAGTATGGTTGCAGCTATTCCAAATGGCATACTTGCAAGTAAAGGGCAAGATGGTCAAGCAAAACTAATAAATGAGGATGGGACAAAAACAATTACTACAATAAATATTTTGATTTATTGAACAATTGAAAATTCTTTTGTCTAAGAATATTGCAAATAGTACAAAGGAAGGAGCTACTATAAGAGGTGAACTGGGTAGAATTTTAGAAAAAAATTACAATAATAATAGCATTTGGTGCTTACGTCCAACAAGCTCTCCATGCCAACGTAACAGGCACATATCACTTTTGTTGCTGGAAATTATGCTACTTCATAATATGATTAGAAATTACCACTGATGTTCACAATATACAAATAACAATTTCCACTTAATAAGTATGTGTAATGTATATAGCACTATATTAATATCTGGATATCCTAATATGCCACATCAATATTTATCAAAAACGTCTTGGTTTCTGTAAATCAAAAAGCATATTTATATCTATACATATTTTTTGAGTTAACACTTTATATAAAAAAAAGGTATTATGGTCAACAAAAATATTATAAAGGATGTTAATTGTTGCAAAATATTTGTTGTTATATTTACAACAATTAAGATGTTGTTTATATAAAGGATGCTAATTGTTGCAAAAATATTATAAATGTTGTGGTTCAACATTAGAAAAGCATTGTCAATGGGTGACTCCAATCTTCATTACTGGTTCTCCAAAATTAGGACTATTATGAGGAGTAAAGGTCAACTAATGTTTTTGTAATTAATTGTCACGGCAAACATTTGACAAATGATTTCTTCTGATTTTTCTTTGATCTCATCATTATTATTTATTCTCATTTCTGAGAGAAAATAAATAATAATGATGAGATCAAAGAAAAAACAGAAAAAATCATTGACTTCAATCTTCATTAAAGGTGCACCTTGCTCATGGGCTATTAGATGAGGAGTAAAGGTCAACTAATGAATTGTCATGGCAATTAACAATGCCTTTCTAATGTTAAACTACAACACCAAATCAAGAACCACCTTTACATATATTGAAATTCTTGTCTTTCTCTCTCTTTTCATTCTTCCAAAGCCTTGAACATCCTTTTGAGGCTAAATCTAGCAACATGATTGGTTAGCTTTGATTCAATGCCAAGGCATGGAACTACTAATGTCACAATCCGGGTAGCAGCATGTGATTAGGTATAGAGCTGCATCCACAAGTGGAGACTTGAGGTCTACACAGGTGCTGATCAAGCGTACACAAGAGACGTCGTTGAAGTTCAAAGAGGCCTAATGTAAAACTCTGAGTCCTCCAGCAAGTCCCTAGAGCAGGAATGTGTGGAACTTTGACAAGACTCGGTTATGGAATCTCATGCTCCAAGTGACCTCCACATGAACAGCATGTCCCGCTTTTGTTTGTATCAGTGACGTGCCAGAGAAGCAAGTCTTTAGAGAGCTTGCTCATAGACTCACTACATGTGGTTTCTATAATGGCCGGAGGTTGTTCCCAGAAGCACTACCGCTCCAGTAGCAAGCATGCGGCTCTTTTTTGCCCGTCAAGTTGATGTCCCACCCCTTATGAACGCCTGTGAACCTTGTTCCATCCCAACCATTTGGATAACCTGTCCGCAGATCTGTTCAGCGCGTGATGATCAGCACCAGTTAACCGTCCTTGGACCATTTCGAGAACTCCCCCGGATCCACATCTTTACACATGATGAAACTCACTTTTGATCAATCTTGCAGTGAGGAGAAAAAGGACATGAGATCTTACTGGATATTTAGGGAGTTTGGGCAAGCAATTTGTATGGACGCTTTGGAAGCCGGATTGAAGCAAGCGGTTGCCGCCTACAGCAGAGGGCAGCCGGGACGATTTGTCGTGGCCACAAATGTCCCATGGGGTGTGTACGACGCCTGCGACTCGAGTTGGAGGCTAGAGTACAGGAGGGGTGAGGTTTTGGCCTATGGGGATCCGTCAATAGTCCACAGCACCGTGTCATCTGCGCTAGAGCGCTCCATCATCTTTTGCATCATCCAGATCCCGGGTATTGGGCTAGCCTCTCTTACAAAAGTGATCACGGGCACTGGAGCGTCTCGCCTCCGGACCATCACCGGCAACAAGGAGCCGGACGCTTGCTTCTTCTCCGGGTCGTCGCTCGCGCAGCCAGCGCGGGCGGTGTTGGAGGTGGCCTACAAGAACGAGCCACTGGAAGTTTTAAGGGAGGTTTTGGATCTGTGGGTGGAGTCGGGCTGCTTGGTGGCGATCGGGGTGAAGATTGCGCGACCTGGTGACGAGTTTACGTTTGTAGCCAGGGAGAGCGGGAAGGATGCCATGGAGATCCAGTTTGGTCCCGAGTTTTGCAATGAGCAGAACCGAGAGCGCTTTGTGGTGAAGTTTCCAGTGTCGTCTTTCACTGCTCATGTGAAGGGTGACTACTACGTTGAGTTTGATCTGTTTTGGCTGCAGCAGTATATATTTCGTATGATCGAGCATGAGCGTCAAGCTTCTGAGCAGATAGAGCAAGAGCGTGGAGCACTTGAACTTGAGTCTCGAAATCTTTCTGCTGTAAATCTTTGCGAGCCATAGAATTTCAATCCAAATAAAGATCGAGCTTTTATTCAGGCAAAAAAAAACCCTTAGCAGTTATCGGGGATACCATGAGAAAATGAAGAACAAACCAAACAGATCTAACTAGGAAAAGGAGCTTATCATTATCTAAGAGTATTGGTGTCCTGCTGGACCATTGTGGTGTGCTCCATGTCGCTGCAGTGACGGAGCTAGGCCGCAGGGACTCGTCCAAGAACATCGTCGAGATCATCGCTGGCTCACACGATTGGCTCCAAACAAACGAGCGATTGGAGTGGATCTATCGGACGAGGATGGGGCGGATGATCTCCACGCGATGCTGGTGTGCCGAGTGATCGCGGGGACAAGGGCTTTCCAGTTCAAGAACCCTAAAATTTCGTCTTTTAATGGCTAGCAGCTAGGGTTTCGGTCTTGGGTCCACGCGACCGAGCGATGGCGTATATTCTGGAGAATTCTCGTATAAGTAGTCGCCGGCGCTGCTTGCGCGGATCCCAATGGCGTCTACAGTCGGGAGAGCAATTCAATGCAGAGGTATGCTTCGCTTGACTTTGTTTTGGCTGTCGATCGTGATTTTCTTCTTTCTCTCCAGCTGCTGTTCTCCACAGCGCTGGATCGGAGTTTGAGCTGGAGACGATCAATGTGGAGCCGCCAAAATCTGGAGAGATTCGCATGCAAGTCCTTTACTCGTCGCTGTGTCACACGGACATCACCATCGCAGACTGGGTAAGTTTGTGCTCAAACTCTTCCAATCTCTTTGCTCCGTGTTAATCCTTTTGTTTGACAGGGCACGCTCAAGTATCCGGTGATTCTTGGGCACGAGGGATCTGGGTAAAGAGTGAATTTCTCTTCTGCCATATTCCCCCTTTTGTCCTGATCTGAGGAGTGTGTTTCTTACTCTTGCTTTTTTTTTATGTGATCTTCTCAATCCAACCAGAGTTGTGGAGAGCGTTGGCGAGGGAGTGACGGAGTTTGCTCCCGGCGACCATGTCATTTGCGTCTACCAAGGGGAATGCGGGAAATGCAAGCTCTGCAAGCTCTCCACCACGAACCACTGCGAGGTCAGCTTCGGGAACTTGTTCACGCCTTTCATGCCTCTCGATGGCACGGCACGGTTCTCTTCGCTTGACGGCAGTGCCATTCACCACTTCGTGAACACGTCCACCTTCACGGAGTACACGGTGCTGGACAAGACCTCGGTTGTCAAAGTTGATCCGGTTCCACTGGAGAAAGCTTGTCTTCTGGGCTGTGGAGTTCCCACCGGTACGTTCCTCCTTGCTTGCGCATTCCTTCTCTGATATCGTTGTTTCCAGGCTTGGGATCCGCATTAAACTTGGCAAACGTCGAAGCCGGCTCCACTGTTGCTGTAATTGGACTGGGAACCGTCGGGCTAGCAGTACGTACTCTATAGCTTTCCCTAAAGTTCTGGAAGAGAAATCATTTGCTTTTCAGGCTGTCGAGGGCGCTCGAATCGCCGGTGCAACTCGGATAATTGGGATCGATATCTTACCTCGAAAATTCGAAGCTGGTCAGCTGGTGTTTTACTCGTCAAATACACGGAAGTGCTAAGCGTTTTTTCTGCGCAGCCAGAGCATTTGGTGCGACCGAGTGTCTAAATCCACAGGACCACGAAGCGCCGCTTCATGAGGTTGTGTGTTCTAACTCTCGTCTTTATCACCCGAGCTCTAATGGTTCTCTCACTCTCTCTCAGGTGCTTCTCGAGCTCACGAATGGAGGAGTCGACTACTGCTTTGAATGCGTCGGCAAGCCTAATCTGTTGGTACAAGCTTTGCTAAGCACCACAGGCGTGAGTGAAAAGCTCTGCTAGTTTCCAGCAGTGTGCTTGCTAACTATTACCTCCTGGATTGTTTAGTATGGAACAACGGTCATGGTTGGAGCTCCCAGGCCCGATGAGATGGTGACATTCCCACCCGTGATTCTCCTCTCGGGTCGCCAACTCAAGTCGGGATACTTCGGTGGATTCAGGGGCAAATCCGACATGCGGAAGCTCGTCGATATGTGCTCCACAAAGGTTTGTTTAGATTGATCAAGCTGGAAGGATTCTAAGTTTTCGTGGATCGTCTAGGAAATCAATCTCGACGGATACATCACTCACAGGCTACCATTCTCAGAAGTAAACGAAGGAGTGAAGCTTCTCTCGTCCGGTTCTTGCATCAAGTGTGTATTCTCCATGGACGGTTGATCTGGCCGCCAGCAAAGCTTCCACGTTTCTAGTTGCGCGCCACGTATTTCCACGTTGGCAGACCAATAATTCTTCTATGTAAAACCCTTGCAAGTGATTTGACGGCGCTCGCTCGCAATCAGGTCAGGGCGCTGCCATCGATCCAGCTCGCGCAGCATCAATCCAGCTGGCGGCATCGATCGGGACGATTGCAAGAGGTGCGTATGTAGTGGAATCGCGATCAGGTCGATCGCTTCGCTTCCCGGTGCTAGTTTAGGCTAGGTTTTACAGGCGAGGATGATGAGCATCTTGAGATCGAGAGCGAGCTTGAAGAGCGCGGGCAGGATAATCTGGGACCGAGGGGCCGTGCAATGCTTTCAGCATTGTAACCGGCATTTTGATGCTCATGGCGGATTATTCTCTGGACTGCCTGCTCGATCGTCACGTCTGGTGCGCCTTTTGTTTCTCTTGTTTCATCATCTTACTTTGCTGAGCAGTTTTGACAGGCCGGAGACATAAGGCGAGATGGATACCGAATTTCTTGTGCTCCAGCCGCAAGCCAAGCTTTCGTCGCCACTTACGCGACTGAGATCGAGAAGAAAACCGACGCTTCCACGCAAAGCACGAAAGCTGCTGCTACTCCGGCCACTGCTAATGTTCTCGTGGAAGAGAATGCTGCTGACATAAAGATCTTGCGATCGCTCTCGGCTTACATCTGGCCATCTGGGAACTTAGAGTTTCGCAGGAGAGTCGTCGTCTCGCTGGCTCTTTTAATTGGTGGCAAGGCAAGTATCATTTTTCGTTCTTCCTATGTCACCTCTCATCTATGCGTATGTGCAGGTTCTGAACGTACAAGTTCCATTTCTGTTCAAGCATGCGGTGGATGGTTTGGCTGCTGCAACGGGAGTGTCACAAGAAGTGACTCTGGCTTCTGCGGCTTATGCTGCTCCAGTCTCTGTGCTTATCGGTTATGGTCTTGCTCGAGCAGGAGCATCTGCATGTAACGGTAAGTACTCAAAGTTTCGCTGAATATGCTATGACACTGATGTATTGAAATTTCTTTGGTGCAGAGCTTCGTAATACAGTCTTTGCTAAAGTTGCTCAGGGAGCGATACGGAATGTGTCTCGCCAGGCATGTCTGCTATTGTAATGTAGCTGATTGTTGAGTTTATGTTGTCTACAGGTGTTCCTTCATCTTCACAACCTGGACCTTAACTTCCACCTAAGCCGACAGACTGGAGCGTTACATCGAATTATTGATCGAGGCACAAGAGCCATAAATTTCATCCTCTCATCGATGGTGTTTAACGTGGTGCCCACTTTTCTGGAGGTACGTTTCATTGTGAAAACGATGTTCTAGCTCAGCACCCGCTGTCAGATTTCAATGGTTGCAGGCATTCTGGCTTACAAATTTGGAAGCTCGTTTGCAATCGTGACTACTGTTACCGTTGGAGCCTATACGGCATTTACACTGATTGTGACACAGGTATTGCCGAATTCAGCGATTTGGACGTACTTCTAATGCTTTCAAATTCTAGTGGCGAACAAAATTCAGAAAAGAAATGAATAAGGCCGAGAATGCTGCTGGTACCCGAGCGATTGATTCGTTGATTAACTATGAGGTATGCAAGCTCGATTTGACGGATCTGCTGACCAGTTTTGTTCACATGCTAGACTGTGAAATACTTCAACAATGAGAAGCATGAAGTGGATAAATACGATGAACATATACAGAGTACGTCGAGTTTTTCTTTTTCGGTATGGTTTTAAGATTTCTTATATGCAGAATACGAGCATGCTGCATTGAAGACTCAAAGCAGCTTGGCTGCTCTAAACTTCGGCCAGAATGTGATCTTCAGCGCCGCATTGTCTGCAGCAATGATCATGTGCATTGACGGGATTTTGAAAGGATCAATAACCATTGGGGATCTTGTAAGTACAATCGTTTTCCGTTTTCTGGTGTTATGTTTTGGTGTTTTTTTTTTTTTTGTCATCCTTTCTTTTTGTGCAGGTTATGGTCAATGGTTTGCTCTTTCAGTTGTCTCTGCCCCTTAATTTTCTGGGTACTGTCTATCGTGAAACGCGACAGAGCCTTATTGACATGCATGAAATGTTTAAACTTCTTGAGGTAAATGGTTCCGTGGATATTTCTTAGCTTGATATTGATCGATATATTCAGGTAAAGCCGGACATTGCTGATAATCCCAATGCGAAATCATTGGCATCACACCAAAGAAGCATAAAGTTCGATAATGTTCACTTTGGGTAAGACCATTTTGGGGATTACTGCCAGTCTCTAAGTAGCGCATTCGTTGCAGATATGGACCAGACAGACAGATTTTGAACGGATTGTCTTTCGAAGTTCCCGGAGGAAAGAGTCTTGCTATTGTCGGGTCTAGTGGAAGCGGTAAGCTACGTTTATGCTGTGTCTGTGTTAACCGACAAGTACAGGGAAGTCGACCATTTTGAGAGTTCTTTATAGGTTTTACGACTGCAACTCTGGAACGGTAAGCTTGTTTGCTGGAAAGTGAACGTAGTGCTCAAGGATCTGGATTACAGGTGAAGATTGGCGATCAGGATATCAAAGATGTGACGCTGGAAAGCCTGCGATCTTCTATTGGAGTAGTACCGCAAGACACGGTGAACTGTTCCCTAACTAATTTGCATTTCACTTATGGATTTGGCATCGTCCCTCAGGTTCTTTTCAATGATACTATCTTCTACAACATTCAGTATGGTCGGCTATCAGCAACTGAGGAAGAGGTAAGCCCTTTCTTTGTCCGTGCGGTACTTAACTTGACGAACAGGTATATGAAGCCGCTAAACAAGCTGCCATTCATGAGTCAATTCTCAAGTTCCCAAAGCAATATGAAACCATGGTTGGCGAGAGGGGGCTGAAGGTATTCAAAGCTCTTTACTTCCGTCAATTTACGCGTCTCTCGCTTTGCAGCTGAGTGGAGGAGAGAAGCAAAGAGTAGCGTTGGCAAGAGCATTCCTCAAATCCGCGCCAATCTTGTAAGCCAGTTGTGTTGTTCCTGTGACCGTTTCATGAAGCGTTTTTTTTATCAGGTTGTGTGATGAAGCAACGAGCTCTCTGGATTCCACAACCGAGGCAGAAATTCTATCGTCTCTCAAGTCGCTCGCGGCTGACAGGACTGCCATATTCATCGCTCACCGTCTCACAACAGCAATGAACTGCGACGAGGTAGATGTTTATCTTCTGCTTAGAAGCTTTGCAAGAGCTTCACACTTTGTGTGATCAGATTATTGTCTTGGAGAGTGGCAAGGTGGTGGAGCGAGGATCACACGAGACACTAGTGAGTAACAATGGGCGGTATGCTCAGCTCTGGAGCCAACAGAACAGTTTGGAAGCGCAGGACGAAAGCGAGCTGGAGCACATCAATAGTAGCTGAGTAAGTTTTGTAGCCATGGTTTTTTTGAGCGAGAGATGGGAGCTGGAAGGTTAGCGTTCGCCTAACTGAGAACGAAGAAGCTCATTACATGTTCTTACTTCGTTTGACTAAAGACATTTGGATGTTCTCTTCTTTTGACAACTCCCAACCAGATTTCTTTCGGTGGTCTTCGGGTTTGAAGTCCGCATTCACAGGATAACTCATTCATTATCAAGTCATTCATACCAGCTACTCTGCGTGAAGCATCTGCTCGAATGCCGGAAAGAGAGCAGGCTCCAGGGAAACCGAGAGCTCCAAACCTTCGTTGTTGCTGCTGAAAGGGAAGAAGATGATGGACTTGTTCCCCGGATGCATGGGATACTCGACTCGACACGGCTTGCCCAATCCAAAGTCCAGTTGGGTGGAGTTACTCATGGCCCTTGGCCAGGCGTTTATCACCGTGTCACAGTCTGGGTGGTACCAGTAGTCCGGATGCAGCTCCAGAAAGTCGAGCCCCGATCTCACGTACTCCTCGGTTACGCTCTTCTTGGCTTGCTGGATTCTCATTGCCGTGACACCCAGCGGCTCAGTAAGCAGCTCCTCCGTCCTTGCTTGCACCATGACCACGTAGACCGCGCTACCAAAGAAACCACGGCTTAATGGAGGCTGGATAATGCTCCTCGTGTCCACCAGGAACCTCATTCTTGCAACTTCCTTCTTGGGTAGTGCTGCAACGTTGGCTTTCCATACTTGAGCAGCCAACGCCTCAAAAGTTGAACAGTTGGAGACGTCCGTGAGAGCTGCTTGCTTGATTTGAGCGAGCCTGGAACGAGACAAGTGGTACTTCTTCCGCTGCTTGACGCTTCCTTTGGCCACGCTTCTCCTGAGGGACTCGGCGTTGAGCACTGACTCGGATGTCACTGTGTAGCGGCTGTCCTTCTCTTGCTTGCCAAACTCGTGGTGCTGGAAACTTGGCATGGGGTGGTCGCTTGCCTTCATCTGTGTCCGGTCAAACTCGGGAACTAGCCAAAGCTCCTCACCACGGCATTGGCCTGCAAAATTCATGAGGAAGCAAATTGCCGATGTTGCCTCTCCCAGGGTGTGATGTTGCAGCATGGAGATGGCATATCCATTGTTCATTTCGGTGACCTGCAAATTCATAGTTTAGCTCTGTCAACATCGTGCCCGTTGAGACAGTACGAGTTCACCCCCATTACCTGAATGTTCAGCAGAGGAAGGTCCTCAAACGACTCCATATTGTCGGAAGGCTCGAGAAAAAACTCATCAAAATCTGCTGCAGTCACCTCAGAGATGGACAACTTGCAGCTCCCCACACCCAAACGTGCACCCTGGTTGTTGCAATCGATCTCAAGCTTATCACTTGAATTGATCCTTAACCTCCCTGCACAACAAGGGTAGGCAGCCAACACCTTGCTCAATCCTTTCCTCAAGATCTCTTTGAAAACTTGAAGCCCAGGATTCGGCGTGAAGAAAAAGAGAGATCTCACAAAGTAACCAAACTTCTGGTCTATGTTGGTGAGGAACAAGACGTGCCTGCTGTACTCATCCTCTATGAACACATCGATACTCTCAATTAGGAGAACCTTGCGTGTACCTTGGACAGGCACCATTCTATCCATTCTATCGCGATGAAAGCAATACTAGCAATGGGACGAGGGCTTTCTCCACGAGCAATCGCCGCCAGCGCGGTGTTTAAGTTTTACTGCAAAATGGTAGTCAAAAATGCATTTTGAACTGCCAATTTGGCAATAAAAAGGATGTGCGTGTCCACACACATATTGATACATAAATAGATAGATAGATATGTGTGTGGACACGCACAGTTTCACATTACTACGATCTATAGCAAGAAGAGTGTAGTATATCGGCCTCTAGAAGTATAGAAACCTCAACAATGAGAGGGATCCCAGTTGGTGTTCTTGTAGAAGGCCATACTCCCGAGCAGCGTTCTCATCCGTTTCGAATTCCTCATGTCTTCGTTCCTTTCGACAGCAGCTGCGCTGCATTGTTAATGCTGCTCGAAGGCATTCAGAGCCAAAAGGCAGACATTGAGCATGCACTGCACCAGAGTGGAGCTGTCCTTCTTCGTGGATTCGAAGTACTCACTGCCTCAGATTTCAACGACGTACTTGAAGCCTTCGGGTACGATAATTTCGTCTACAATGGTCGTGGGCCACATAAGAAAGCCATCATTGGAAGGGTTGTCACGGCTAACGAGAAGCTTGTGCATTTTCCTATAGGTTTCCACAACGAGATGGCATACGTGAGTGTTGCTTTCCACCTTGGCAGTTATATATACTCATGCTTCGTTTGTCCTGCTTGTAGCAACTCAAGACACCAAGCAAGGTGATGTTTTATTGCGACATTGAGCCTCCTGAAGGTGCCGGAGACCGTGAAGTTATCGAAGCAAATTACGAATCAGGAAGACTTACTTCTCCTCCGCTTCCTCCACTCTTCCTCTTTAAGACTCTTAATCAGGGCTAAAGAAGGGAACAGTCGCATTGAGTGGAATCAAAACGGCACAGCATCTCTTTTCATGGGACCAAAAATTGGAACAAAATTTTGCAAGTCAAAAGGAAGAAAGGTTTGGTTCAACAGCATTGGTTCAACTTACGAGCTCATGCTCATCTCCCCACCTGGAGAACATGGAATAAGCTTTGGTGATGGCACTCCTTTGAATGAAAAGTTTCTCGCAGCTTGCAAGAGGATAATGGAAGAGGAAAAAGTTGCATTCAAATGGCGCAAAGGAGATGTGCTCATCATCGACAACGATGCTGTTTTACATGCAAGGGAACCATCGAGACCACCACGAAAAATTCTTGCAGCATTAGCTGCCAACTAGAGCTAATAAAATAAGAGTAGTTTCCAGTGTTGATGTAGGAGCGTTGAAGTCTCACTCCTTTCGAACTCTATTCTTATTCACGCCGTTCGAGTGACCGCCCCACGGCCCATCCCCACTATGAACGACCCGGTCCGAGTATAGTCTATCTATCTGTGTTTATAGTTTTGTGGTGAATGCAATGCAATTGAGATTTTCACTCCACGGCCCAGGCTCCAGTCCATGCTCCACAGTCCTCGCTTATGCAACGTGGCTTTTTCTCATGAAAAGGGCGGTAGGAGGATCATGAAGAACGCTGGCATATCTATACGATGATTGTCGGCTGAATGCTAGGTGTTGCCAATGGCAATCCGCCAGGACACGATTGTGGCGATTGGTAGATGCCAGGATACCGATGGTTCTCCAGCATCCATCTCAGGTTTGTTGGACTTCTTCTTTGTATAAAAAGATTCCTGGTTTCATTGTCTTTGTCCTACCCACAAAGAACATTGTTCCCCCACGTATGATTCAATTCAATCGATCCACTTCCTACATAACTTTGTGTTTTAAGAGCCTTTCTAGCTTGTCGTTTTATATACCTTACAGGTACAAAGGTGTTTTCACATCTTAAACCAGACTGGGGCCTCAATATCTTGATTGTTCCCATGGGTAACGATTTCTCCCAGCTTGGCAGCATTAGTTTGCTCCTCTGCACTTTCTACCGTTGTTTCGTTTACCAAGGTTACCACAATATTTTTAACGTGTTGAAGATAGGCGATCAGAATATCGAAGATGCTAGCCTCGGTCTTTTATTTGGTATTGGAGTAGTACCGCAAAAAAAGGTGAACTCTTCTCATACTAATCACTTGTAGATTTCGCATCGTTACCTCAGATTGTTTTCAATGATACCATCAACATTCGGTATGGTCGGCTATCAGCAACTGAGGAAGAGGTAAGCCCTTCCTTTGAACAGGTGTATGAAGCCGCGAAACAAGCTGCCATTCATGAGTCAATTCTCAAGTTTTCAAAGCAATACGAAACCATGGTTTGGCGAGAAGGAATGTTCTACTCTTTGCTTCTCTCCTCCACTCAGCTGCAAAGCTAGACGCAAGTAAAGAGCTTTGAATACCTTTAGTCCCCCAAATCAGTTGTAAGCCAGTTGTTTTGTTCCCTTGAGCGTTTCACACGAGTTTCTCATTATCAGGTTGTGATGAAACGACGAGATCTTTAGACTCTAAATTCTCTTATTCAGGCGCGGGATGAAAGAGATCTGGAGTAGATCAATAGTAGCTGTGCAAGGTTCGTAGCCATGGATTTTTTGAGCGGGAAATGTGAGCTGTTCTCCTCCCTTCCTCGCCCACATAAACAGCCAACGATCCCTTTGGAACATCTGATGGTGGAGAGGATTTCCTTCGCAAGTAGCTTGTGCTGCGATTTCTTGTAAAGCCTGTGTTGGGATCCAAGGAATCATCACTCTGATCATGGTGGCTCTGGCTCCTTCGTAAGATTGAGACCATCTTCTCCCTTCTTCTCTGGATGCCCGGGAAAAGAAGAACTACAATGAAGATATAACCCCTAGAAAAGAAATTGGATGTGTGTTTGAAGCTTACAAGCTTTAATTCTTTCTCTGATCCATGAGGAAGCAAATTGCCGATGTTGCCTCTCCCAAGGTGTGATGTTGCAGCATGGAGATGGCATATCCATTGATAATTTCGATGACCTGCAAATTCATAGTTTAGCTCTGTCAGCATCGTGCCCGTTGAGACAGTACGAGTTCACCCCCATTACCTGAATGTTCATCAGAGGAAGGTCCTCAAACGACTCCAGATTGTCGGAAGGCTCGAGAAAAAACTCATCAAAATGCTGCAATCACCTCAGAGATGGACAGCGTGCAGCTCCCCACACCCAAACGTGCACCCTGGTTGTTGCAATCGATCTCAAGCTTATCACTTGAATTGATCCTTAACCTCCCTGCACAACAAGGGTAGGCAGCCAACACGTTGCTCAATCCTTTCCTCAAGATCTCTTTGAGAACTTGAAGCCCAGGATTCGGCGTGAAGAAAAAGAGAGCTCTCACAAAGTAACCAAACTTCTGGTCTATGTTGGTGAGGAACAAGACGTGCCTACTGTACTCATCCTCTATGAACACATCGATACTCTCAATTAGGAGAACCTTGCGTGTACCTTGGACAGGCACCATTCTATCCATTCTATCGCGATGAAAGAAATACTAGCAGTGGGACGAGGGCTTTCTCCACGAGCAATCGCCGCCAGCGCGGTGTTTAAGTTTTACTGCAAAATGGTAGTCAAAAATGCATTTTGAACTGCCAATTTGGCAATGAAAAGGATGTGCGTGTCCACACACATATTGATACATAAATAGATAGATAGATATGTGTGTGGACACGCACAGTTTCACATTACTACGATCTATAGCAAGAAGAGTGTAGTATATCGGCCTCTAGAAGTATAGAAACCTCAACAATGAGAGGGATCCCAGTTGGTGTTCTTGTAGAAGGCCATACTCCCGAGCAGCGTTCTCATCCGTTTCGAATTCCTCATGTCTTCGTTCCTTTCGACAGCAGCTGCGCTGCATTGTCAATGCTGCTCGAAGGCATTCAGAGCCAAAAGGCAGACATTGAGCATGCACTGCACCAGAGTGGAGCTGTCCTTCTTCGTGGATTCGAAGTACTCACTGCCTCAGATTTCAACGACGTACTTGAAGCCTTCGGGTACGATAATTTCGTCTACAATGGTCGTGGGACAGTAAAGAAAGCCATCATTGGAAGGGTTTTCACGGCTAACGAGAAGCCTGTGCATCTTCCTATAGGTTTCCACAACGAGATGGCATACGTGAGTGTTGCTTTCCACCTTGGCAGTTATCTATACTCATGCTTCGTTTGTCCTGCTTGTAGCAACTCAAGACACCAAGCAAGGTGATGTTTTATTGCGACATTGAGCCTCCTGAAGGTGCCGGAGGCGCCACACCCATCGTCCAGGGCCACATTGTATACCAAAGGCTCAAGAAAGAGATGCCAGAATTTCTGAAGATGGTTGAGGATAAGGGGCTTACTTACATTAGGACTCTGTGCAACGATCCATCAGCAAAGAATAGCTGGCAAGAAGTCTTGCAAGCATCTACCAAAGAGGAAGCGGAGAAGAAGTAAGTCTTCCTGGTTCGTAATTTGCTTTGATAACTTCACGGTCTCATTCGCAATCAGAGCTAAAGAAGGGAACAATCGCATTGAGTGGAATCAAAACGGCACAGCATCTCTTTTCATGGGACCAAGAATTGGAACAAAATTTTGCAAGTCAAATGGAAGAAAGGTTTGGTTCAACAACATTGGTTCAACTTACGGGCTCATGCTCACCTCCCCACCTGGAGAACATGGAATAAGCTTTGGTGATGGCACTCCTTTGAATGAAGAGTTTCTCGCAGCTTGCAAGAGGATAATGGAAGAGGAAAAAGTTGCATTCAAATGGCACAAAGGAGATGTGCTCATCATCGACAACGATGCTGTTTTACATGCAAGGGAACCATCGAGACCACCACGAAAAATTCTTTCAGGATTAGCTGCCAACTAAAATAAGAGTAGTTTCGAGTGTTGACGTCGTTGAAGTCTCACTCCTTTCGAACTCTATTCTTATTTATGCCGTTTGAGTGACCGCCCCACGGCCCATCCCCACTATGAACGACCCGGTCCGAGTATAGTCTATCTATCTGTGTTTATAGTTTTGTGGTGACCATCGAGAAGCATAAGACTTTCTGAATGCAATGCAATTGAGAGTTTTCACTCCACGGCCCAGGCTCCAGTCCATGCTCCACAGTCCTTGCTTATGCAACGTGGCTTTTTCTCATGAAAAGGGCGGTAGGAGGATCATGAAGAACGCTGGCATATCTATACGACAGTCCTGATTGTCGGCTGAATGCTAGGTGTTGCCAATGGCAATCCGCCAGGACACGATTGTGGCGATTGGTAGATGCCAGGATACCGATGGTTCTGCAGCATCCATCTCAGGTTTGTTGGACTTCTTCTTTGTATAAAAAGATTCCTGGTTTCATTGTCTTTGTCCTACCCACAAAGAACATTGTTCCCCCACGTATGATTCAATTCAATCGATCCACTTCCTACATAACTTTGTATTTTAAGAGCCTTTCTAGCTTGTAGTTTTCTATATCTTACAGGTACAAAGGTGTTTTCAAGTACTTGGCACTTTCTACCGTGGCAGCACTTGATGTTTCGTTTACCAACCACCATATTTTTAACGTGTTTGTTTGCTTGCGCTCAGGTTCAGACCTTTCCAGCTCGTCTGCTGGCCAAGTCTACTTTAAACTGGGCCTAGCTGCTTTTGAGAATTCTTTATAGGTTTTACGACTGCAACGGATCTGGAACGGTAAGCTTGTTTATTGTGAAGTGAACGTAATAATGCTCAAGTATCTCGATTACAGGCGAAGATAGGCGATCAGAATATCGAAGATGCTAGCCTCGGTCTTTTATTTGGTATTGGAGTAGTACCGCAAAAAAGGTGAACTGTTCTCATACTAATCACTTATAGATTTCGCATCGTTACCTCAGATTGTTTTCAATGATACCATCAACATTCGGTATGGTTGGCTATCAGCAACTGAGGAAGAGGTAAGCCCTTCCTTTGAACAGGTGTATGAAGCCGCGAAACAAGCTGCCATTCATGGATCAAGTTTCCAAATCAATACGAAACCATGGGACTAAAGGTATTCAAAGCTCTTCACTTCCGTCTAGCTTTGCAGCTGAGTGGAGGAGAGAAGCAAAGAGTAGCGCTGGCAAGAGCATTCCTCAAATCCGTCCGTGACAATCTTGTAAGCCGGTTGTTTTGTTCCCTTGAGCGTTTCACAACGCGTTTCTTATTATCAGGTTGTGATGAAGCAACGAGATCTCTAGACTCTAAATTCTCTTATTCAGAAGAGTTTGGAGGCGCGGGACGAAAGTGATCTGGAGCAGATCAATAGTAGCTGTCCAAGGTTCGCAGCCATGGATTTTTTGAGCAGGAGATGGGAGCTGCTCGCCTAACTAAGAACGAAGAAGCGCATTAGATGTTCTTTGAATATCCTTCTTAGTCATAAGATGCTCTTTGAATATGCTTCTTTTGACTAGGATTGACTACGAACGGAGCCATCTCCTCGATCTTCTCCAGTCATGCCGCTCCATCCCGGCGGCCCACGAAATTCGCAGCCGGATCCAATCCACGCTCGGGGCTGCCGATGTCTTCGTGCAAAACAAGCTGATCGAGCTCTATGGCCGCGTTGGAAGCCCCCTCCACGCGCAGGAGGTGTTCGATGCCATCGCCCACAAGAACTCCCTCTCGTGGGTCATGCTTCTCAACGCTTACTGTCGCAACAGGCAGCTAGATCGAACAAACCAGGTTTTTCGTTCGATGCCGCACAGAGATTTAATCTCGTGGACTTGTCTCCTTACTGCACTTGCCCAAAACGGGCATTTGATTAAAGCCCAACAAGTGTTTGATCAAATGCCGATGAGGGATTTGGTCTGCTGGAACTCAATGCTCGTTGCGTACGGAAGAAGCGGAAGAATAGAAGAGGCCGTAAAGGTTTTCGAGGATATGCCCGAGAAAGATCTTATTACGTGGACTTCTGTACTTACTGCTTATGCCCATTTTGGGCATTTGGAAAAGTCACAGGATATCTTTGAGCGAATGCCGCAGAGAAATCTGTTCTCGTGGAATGCTATGTTAGCGCTCTACGGTGTTAAAGGTTTAATGGAGAAAGCAAATAGATTGTTCCAGGAAATGCCCGAGTGGAATTCTGTCTCTTGGACGACGATGCTAGACGGATATTCGCAAAACGGGTATCTTGGAAGATCTAAACTCGTGTTTGATTCCATGCCGGAGCGGAATTTGATCTCATGGGGCTGCATGCTAGCTGCATATGCACATAACGGGCACTTAATGGACGCCAAGAGAGTATTTGACACCATGCCAGAGCACAACCTTGTCTGTTTTAATGCCATACTAACAGCATTTGCCCAAAATGGCCATCTTGCAAAAGCTAAGCATGCCTTTGATACAATGCCGGAGACAAATGTGGTAACGTGGAATGCGATGCTGACGGCGTATTCGGATAATGGTCGAGTAGAACAAGCAAAAGTTATGTTTGATTCTATGCCGTACAGGAATCTCGTGTCATGGACATGCATGCTGGCCATGCACGCCCAGTACGGGCAGGTGACGGAGGCCAGACGTACATTTGACACGCTCCCGGAGAGAACCATCAACGTGACTGACGCTTTGCTAACGGTTTATGCGCACAACGGACGCATCGAGGACTCGAAGATTCTATTTGATGGAATGCCCCACTGGGACATGCTAGCATACTCGACAATGCTCTCGGCATTTGCCCAAAACGGGCATGTGGAAGATGCCAAGAATCTCTATGACTCAATGCCGGAGAAGCACTTGGTCTCAAAGACCTCGATGCTTGCGATGTATGCCCAACATGGGTCAATAAACGAGGCACAGTCCATGTTTGATAGTATGGCTTTTCAAGACATTGTGGCATGGAATTCTATGTTGGCAGCTTACACTCAGCACGGCTATGTGGATCAAGCCAAAACCATTTTTGATATAATGCCTGAGAGAGATGCGGTATCATGGAGCACAATGCTAGCAGCATATGCCCGTAAAGGGCATCTCCCCCAAGCAAAAAAGTTCTTTAGCACAATCCCAGAACCCAGCTTTGTCTCGTGGAATGCCTTGCTCACTGCCTACTACCAAAACTCCGTCCCATCTGGTGTCTTTGAAAGTTTTGACATGCTCAAGATGGTGGATGGCTCTCTCAGCGGGATTTGCTTCGTGCTGGTTTTGGTCGCTTGCAGCCATGGAGGCAAGCTGGTCGAGGCTGGCCAAAGATTCGTCTCCATGAGATTGGACTACGCGTTTGAGCCGGCCAAGCAACACTACGCTTGCATGGTTGACGTGCTTGGGCGAGCTGGAAGGCTGGAAGATGCTCGAGAGCTTGTTCACGCAATGCCGTTTGTGGCCAATGGGTTCGAATGGGTGACTTTGCTGGGCTCTTGCAGAAGTAATGACGACTTCAAGCAGGGAGCTCGTGTTGCAAAAGCCATGATGGATGCCAATCCGGCATCTGGTGCAGCTTACATCCTCTTGGCCAACTTGTATGATTCAAGAGCACCTAACAAACTTGCCACAAGTCCTTGATCTTGTAGATTTTGATTTTTCAGGTCTGCCAACCAACACCACGACTTAGAGTTACGATCTTAAGCTTCTAGGAAGCTCCTCGTAGATAAGTTTCCATATCCATGCTATGTTGGGCGATTTTTCAAGCTGAAGTGGTTAATATTGGAATAAGATCACATTCAATCATATTTTTTGGAATCTGATTTCTAACACCCACGTGATAATTCCGATATTTCTTCTGCCAACCCGCCCACCATTAGCTTCACAAGGTAATCTTAATTATCATTTCCATGAAACTTCACAACTGTGAGCACGAAGTCAATATTTCTTGCGTCAAGAGTTTTACTTGATCACGACTCTAAATTTTTTGTATATAAAGAAAGCCCAAACCCACACCATTGCATACTTTGATTATCATTAAGAATGGCTTCAAGCATTGTAAGCATGATTAGCATCTTTCTTTTGTTTGCAATGTCTGGCCATGCACTTGCAAGCTTGAGCCCAACGTTTTACAGCTCGACATGCCCAAATCTCACAGGAATCGTTCGAGCCGCAGTGCAACAGGTTGTGGCAAGCGAGCCACGAATGTGTGCATCTTTAGTTCGACTCTTCTTTCACGACTGCCATGTGAATGTAAGAAAAGCTTTCACCTTTCGATTAAGCAGGAAAATTAAGCATGCCTACAATTGCAGGGATGTGATGCATCCATCATGCTGAATGGCTCAAACAATGAGCAGTTTGCTTTCCCAAACATAAACTCTTTGCGAGGATACAACGTGATCGAAAACATCAAGGCTTTGGTGGAGGCGAAATGCCCAAACACTGTCTCATGCGCTGATATCATTGTGATCGTCGCTAGAGAGTGCGTCATGGCGGTAATGACAGTAATTATACCATTAAGTAGAACTAATTCTGTATTGACCAGCTGAATGGACCAACATGGACCGTTACCTTTGGCCGGCGAGACAGCCTCACGGCAAACCAGACGGCTGCAAACGTAGAACTTCCACCTTTCTTCCTCAATGTTTCCAGGCTCATCGCTAACTTTCAAAGCCATGGTCTCTCCGTGCAAGATCTAGTCGCTCTCTCAGGATCTCACACCATTGGCCAAGGCCAATGTGGGAACTTCAAGTCTCGCCTTTATGGTCCATCACTGAGCTCTTCGCCAGATTACATGAACCCTTACTACAATCAGTCGCTCAGGAGCCAGTGTCCTAGCAGTGGTGGTGACTCAAACCTTTCTCCTCTAGATTTGCAAACTCCAGTGGTGTTTGACAACAAGTATTACAAGAACTTGATAAATTTCAGTGGATTGTTCCACTCTGACCAGACACTGTGGAGTGGTGGCGATTGGACGGTTGCGCAGCTGGTGCACACTTATGCCATGAATCAAGCACGATTTTTCCAGGACTTTGCGACTGGAATGATCAATATGGGAAACCTCAAGCCGCTCTTAGCTCCAAATGGACAGATCCGTAAATACTGTGGCAAAGTGAACTAGATTTTTTCAATAAATAAAAATTATTATCCCTTGGTTCCAAGGTATTTATCAAGATACTTCTTCGAATCTCTCCATTGGATCCAGTCAACACGTTGATATTACCCATCCTTACCATTGCATTACCAAAGTACTGGAAGAAGGTGCTCTGGCTCGAAGCCTATGATTTGGCAAGATTCCTCCTGCTGAACTGGTCCCCGGAAAAGAGCGAGAAGAGCAACCCTCTCCGGTTATGCAAGTTCCTAAAGTAGCGATTGTCAAAGCTGGTGGGCGTCTGGATGTCGAGCGGCGAGAGATTGGTGTCGCCATTGCTGCCCACGCACGAGCTTTGCAACGTCTGGTCACCGCTTTGGAAGGGCCTGTAGAGCCGAGCCTTCAAGTTGGCGCACTGGGTCTGCCTGGAGAGAGCCATATTTTCCGAATCTGATTTCTAACACCCACGCAAAGAATTCCGATATTTTTTCTGCCAACCCACCCACAATTAGCGTCACAAGCTAATCTTAATTATCATTTTCTCAACTCTGAAAGTCAATATTGCTTGCGTCAAGAGTTTCACTTAATTGTCTTGATCAGCTCCCTTGTATATAAAGAAAGGCCAAATCCATAATAAACTTGCATATTTTGATTATCACTAAGAATGGCTTCAAGCATCATGATTAGCATCTTTCTTTTGTTTGCAATGTCTGGCCATGCGCTTGCAAACTTGAGCCCAACGTTCTTGTTCAAATCTCACAGGAATTGTCCAAGCTGCAGTTTGTGGCAAGCGAGCCACAAATGTGTGCATCTTTAGTTCGACTCTTCTTTCACGACTGTCATGTGAATGTAAGAAAAGCTTTCCCCTTTCTATTAAGCAGGAAAATTAAGAATAATTTGCAGGGATGTGATGCATCCATTATGCTGAATGGCTCAAAGAATGAGCAGTTTGCTTTCCCAAACATAAACTCCTTGCGAGGATACAACGTGATTGAAAACATAAAGACTTTAAACACTGTCTCATGTGCTGATATGATCGTGCACGTCGGTCGGCTGTGGTAATGACAATAATTATACCACTTAGGATGAACATTGACCAGCTGAATGGACCAACATGGACCGTTACCTTTGGCCGGCGAGACAGCCAGACGGCTGCAAACGTAGAACTTCCACCTTTCTTCTTCAATGTTTCCATGCTCGTCGCCAACTTTCAAAGCCGTGGCCTCTCTGTGCAAGATCTAGTCGCTCTCTTGGGATCTCACACCATCGGCCAAGGCCAATGTGGGACCTTCAATGCTCCATCGCGAGCTCTTCGCCAGATTCTATGAACCCTTACTACAACCAATCGCTCAGGAGCCAGTGTCCCAACAGTGGTGGTGACACAAACCTTTCTCCTCTAGATTTGCAAACTCCAGTGGTGTCTGACAACAACTACTACAAAAACTTGATAAATTTCAGCGGATCGTTCCACTCTGACCAGACACTGTGACAGTTGCACAGCTGGTGCACACTTATGCCATGGCTCAAGCGTTGTTTTCCAGGACTTTGCGACTGGAATGATCAATATGGGAAACCTCAAGCCACTCTTGGCTCCAAATGGACAGATCCGTAAATACTGTGGCAAATTTTTTCAATATATAAAAATTATCCCTTGGTTCCAAGGTGTTTATCAAGTATACTTTTTCTCAAGCTAGTTTGTTCTTCCACAGTTTCTTCGAATCTCTCCATTGGATCCAGTCAACACATTGATATTACCCATCCTTACCATTGCATTGCCAAAGTCCTGGAAGAAAGTGCTCTGGCTCGAAGCGTATGAGTTGACGAGATTCCTCGTGCTGGCCTGGTTCCCGGAAAAGAGCGTCTGGTCCGAGAAAAGCAACCCTCTCCGGTTCTGCAAGTTCCTAAAGTAGCGGTTGTCAAAGCTCGTGGGCGTCTGGACGTCGAGCGGCGAGAGATTGGTGTCGCCATTGCTGCTCGGGCACGAGCTTTGCAACGAGGTGTTAAAACTTTGATCCATCTGGTCACCTCTTTGGAAGGGCCCGTAGAGCCGAGCCTTAAAGGTGGTGCACCGGGCCTGCCCAATGGTGTGAGCCCCAGAGAGAGCCACCATATCTGTGGTTGAAAGCCCCTGGTTTTGGAAACTCGCGATGAGCGCTGAGGCATTCAAAGTTGGAGGAGGAAGGTTGGCATTTGCGGCAGATTGGCTTGCTGTTAAGCTATCCCTCCTTCCAAACACCACCGTCCACGAAGGCCCGTTCAGCTGTAAAAACACCACAAAACGAAAAGCGAGGACATTGTAAGCTTTTGACAGTTGACTTTGAGAGTTTACCGCGACTACGGAGTCCCGGGCAATGAGCGCCAGTAAGTCAGCGCAGGAGACAACACCCGGGCAGGAGCTCTCGACGGAGCTCTTGATGGAGTCGACGATGTCGAAGCCACGGGCGGAGCCAGCGTTTGGAAACGCGTTTTGCTCCAGGTTTGCGCCGTCGAGAAGAATGGAAGCATCGCATCCCTGCAAGACAAATGCATGGTTCTTTCAATATGCTTGAATGAAACTTATGGAAGCTTTCTACATTGACAAAGCAGTCGTGGAAATGGAGGCGAACAAACGAGGCTGCGATTCGAGCCTCTGCCTGGACGGCCTGCTGCACTGCAGCTCTCACGATGGTGGTGAGATTTGGGCACGAGGAGCGGTAGAAGCTGGAGCTCAAAGTTTGGCCAAGAGCACTCCCATGCAGGGCCAGCAACAACACAAGCACAAAGGACATGATCGCCATCTTTCCGCTTGAGCTTTAGCTTCACTCGAAAGGCCTGCCTTTGAAACGTTTGAAACGTTTGCATTTATAGATGGAACCTCGCCGTATCGAGCACGGGTGCCACGGTGGTGAAACACAACTCGAGCCGGTGTATTTTGACAAGCTTTTTGTTTTGTGATGGAATAAGTCGTATCCATTTCATGTGGTTTGTTTGAATGAAAGTCGGCGGTGGCACACAAGTTCAAACATTTCACCCTCTAAAGAACCAAATCTCACAACTTCCAAATCTCACAAGAGATGATCAAGCTTGTCATGACGCAAAAAAAAGTCAAGCTCAAATGCATCCTGTGACTTTGGACAATTTTTCTTGGTGGAGTGTTTTAGTGGAATCATTCCCATTCCGCCACCAAAGCATCCTGCCTGTCCGCCATTGTAACTTGTTGCTGGCTAATGGCCCCTCCACAGCCCAAAAAACTTTCGTGTGCTGTGAATAAGAAATTAGAACTTTCGAGGAGAAAGCTTCCACCTCCTAAGTGCATTCTGCAAGTGGTGTTTTGTCTCATCAAACGAGAAAGAGTTTGCCAGCAAAACAAACGCTGCGGCATTTTGGGGATCCAGACTTAGAACTCTTTCACTCACACGAGCGCCCCTTTCAGCGTCTTTCCGATCGATACAAGAGGCCAGAATGCACGTCCAGTCGTAAACGTCTGGAACAAAAGGCATGCGAGTGATAAGATCTTCGGCCTCGTCCAGATACCTCGCCCTCGAGAGGAGATCAATCAAGCAGCAGTAGTGCTGCTTGCTTGGTATCAATCCATAGTCCATTCTCATAGCGATAAAGAGAGACCAACCCGGATAGACCACTCCAGCATGACTAGCGGCAACCAAGGCGCAAGTGAAAGCAATCTCATCAGGAATCTCGCTCATTTTCATCGAGGCAAACAAATCCAGTGCCTCGGAAGAATGTCCGTTCTGGGCATATCCAGCAAGCAAAGTGTTCCACGAAACAATGTCTCTTTCGATCATCCAGCTAAATACACGCCTAGCTTCCAGAAGATGCCCATTTTGGGCATATGCCGCTAACAAAGCATTGCAGGAAACGAGATCCTTTTGAGGAATTTCGTCAAACATGAACTTTGCATCTTGAAGATATCCGTTTTGGGAATACGAGGACAGCATCGCATTCCATGATACCAAGTCCCACTCGGGTATCCCGTCAAATATCTGCTTAGATTCCTCCAGATGCCCGTTCTGGGCATACACACTGAGCATCGCCGTACACGAGACAATGTCCTTCTCGTGGAGGCTTTCGTACACCTCCCTTGCTCTTTCGACGTCACCATTCCACGCGTGCATGGAGAGAATGGCGTTCCACGAGATGAGATCCCTGTCGGGCATTTGCTGAAAGAGCTCTTTGGCTTTGGGTAACTGTCCTGCCTGAACATATGCAGCCAGCATGGCATTCCACGACACTAGCGTTCGTACCTCCATTCGATCAAATATCCGCTTTGCCTCTCCCATGTCACCATTTCGCACACACGCAGTCAGCATGGCATTCCAGGACACAACGTTGCGCTCGCCCATCTGATTAAATATTCCTCTAGCCTGTTGGAGCTGGCCGTTAAGTGCAAACCCAGAGAGCATTGCGTTGGAGGCGATGAGATCGTGCTCCTTCATACGATCAAAGAGTTTCATGGCATCTTGCAGATGCCCATTTTGGGCATATGCCGCAAGAATTGTTGTCCAGGAAACTAGATTTCTTTCCTTCATAGAGTCAAATACTATCTTCGCAGATTCCAAATCCCCGCTTTGAGCGCATGCCGCTAGCATTGTGTTCCATGAAACAAGGTCGCGGTTTGGCATCTCTTCAAATATCCTCCTTGCCTGACAGAGATTCCCGTTCTGTCCGTACGCCGCCAGCATAGCATTGTACGACACAAGGTTCTTCTCGCGCATGCTTTGAAATACCAGCACGGCGCCTTGCAAGTGCCCATTGTGGGCATTCCCCGTCAGCATGGCATTCCACGTAACGAGGTCCAGCTCGGGCATAGAATCAAACACCTTCTCGGCGTCTTGCAAATACCCTCTTTGGGTATATGCCACAAGGAGCGTAGTCCACGCCACGAGATCCCTCTGCGGCATGGCATCGAATATCTGTTTGGCGTCCTCAATATGCCCGTTTCGGGCATATGCTGATAGCATGAGAGACCAAGTGTAGATATTCCCTGTGGAAATGGTGTTGAAAACGTGGCGGGCTTCGTGAACACTGCCGCATTTTCCATACATTTCGAGGAGCCTGTTTGAGAGGTAAATGTGGCTGCCAAGGAGGTGGCGGACTTTGGAGTGGGCAAAGCGTACCATGGAGAGGTTGCTGCAAGAATTTACGAGCTCCACGCATGATGCGTGATCGAGGCTGGCCCCAACTTCACACGCTCTCATCGTTGACACCATCTCGCCAAGACGAAAAGATAAACAAGATTCAACGGTAGTCCAACCATGGCGGCGACGGCGTTGACCGTGTTAGTTATGGCGAGGGTAGAAGTTTCCATCCATCAAATCGTTTAGATTCAAGCTAGAGCATCTTTGAGGTCTTACGTACCATGAGAGCTTCCATTCACGTAAGATCTTAAAGACGCTCTAAAGCGATGTTTTGCTCACCAGGCAAGGAGGGCCCCGGAATGACAGCTGTGATTGATTTGATCTTGTTTGTTATCATCCCGTGAGACGTGAAAGAGAAAGAAAGAGTGAGAGATAGAGGTGGTCTTCATGATCCGAAAGCGTGGCTTTCACTTTGATCTCCTTCTCGATCGTGATCACGCAACCGAAAATTTGTCGTGCTCTTGGAGCTATTGGGTCAAACGGCGCGGCAAAACAATTAGAGCTGTACGAGTGTTAGTGTGTCCCACACACGTTTGGCCAAAGGACTCGTGGGTGGTCTGAAGAGAAACTTCTGGGCTATCAACCGACTATACGTCTTCCAAGCAAAAACCGAGCGGCGTTCGTAGTATATAATGGATGCGTAAGCGACTGTGGAGTCCAGAGTTCCAATTCCGAAGCAAGCAATCATCTCAATCCATAGTTCTTTCTTAGATCTTTTGAAGAAGAAGAACAGTTACAGTTTTTGGATCATCTTTGCTCTAGAGGTTTTTGCGTTTTCCGAGCAATGGATCGTTTTGGAGCATGGTGGTGGTCGTCTGTGATAGCAGTGCTGCTGCTGGGCCTGGAAGCAAACGCCCAGCTCTCCAGTTCCTTCTACTCCAGCACTTGCCCCAATCTCACCGATATCGTGAGGAACGTAATCCAGTCGGCTGTGGCCAACGAGAATCGAATGGCGGCATCGATCCTTCGCCTCCACTTTCACGACTGCTTCGTTAACGTAAGCAAAGAAGAATGAGCGCGTTTTTCAAATTTCGGGAATGTCCTGTGAATATGCTCCCTGACTTTAAAATTCTTTGCTCATGGCAGGGCTGTGATGGATCAGTGCTCCTCCAGGGCGGGGAGGAGAACGCTCCCCCCAACCAACGCTCCGCCAGAGGATTCGAAGTCATCGATAGCGTCAAGAGCGCCGTGGAGAGCGCCTGCCCGGGAGTCGTCTCCTGCGCCGACATCCTCGCACTGAGCGCCCACGAATCCGTCACAGCAGTAAGTCACCACTCGATCCACTATCCAATTCGATCGATCCACGAGCGAATTCGATCGACCCAAGAGCCAATTGTCCCGAGCTCACTGACCCAGACCGCGTTTCGCCTTGTTTGCAGCTGGGAGGACCCTCGTGGACAGTGGTGTTTGGCCGACGAGACAGCCTCAGCCCCGCGAGCGTGGCCGACGTGAGCGCCAACCTCCCGGGACCAGGATTCACGGCATTGCGTCTCATCAGAAGCTTCCAGAACCAAGACCTCTCCCCGCGCGACCTGGTGGCTCTCTCGGGAGGCCACACCATCGGCCAGGCCCAGTGCTTCACATTTCGCGCTCGCCTCTACAATGGCACCGCGGGAGACAGCATCGATCCGGCGCTCAAGTCCCGGCTCGAGCAAAACTGCCCCCCAAGCGCTCCAAACGGCGACAGGAACTTGGAGAACCTAGACACCTCTCCCGCCACCTTTGATAACACGTACTTCCAGTTGCTCCAGTCAACGCAGGGATTACTCTTCTCTGACCAGCAGCTCCTGTCGGGCGGTCAGAGCGAGCTGGCCAGCATGGTCAACGAGTTTGCGGGCGACCAGCAGGCATTCTTTACCGCGTTTGCCAATGGGATGGTGAGCATGGGCAACCTTTCGCCTCTCACGGGGAGCAGTGGTGAGATCCGAGCAACCTGTCGCTCCTCAAACTAATATAGTCATCTCTTGAAGCATCTAAAAGATGCCAAAAACATACCAAATCCAATTGGAAGAATTCCTTGTTGCGACGTAACAAAAAGAGCTTGGAACTGTTCTATAGAATTCTACTAAACTAGTCGAAAAATCTCTTGAAGCATTTAAAACATGCCAATAACACACAAATCCAAGTAGAATTCCTTGTTACGGAACTCTCGATTCATTGATTGCCACAAGAATTCGTTGTTCGAAGAACTTGGAACTCTTCGATTGATGTTCTTAGATTTTTTCCAGAACAAAGAATCTCTTCAAGCATCTAAAAGTTGCACAAGTCCGAATGGTAGAATTCGTTGTTGCGACGTAACAAAGAGCTTGGGATGATGTTTTAAAGTCGTGTTTAGTTTTTAATCTTCTCGTCAATCGATCGCGGCTGCAGCCAATTGACTTTGAATAGGTTGCTCATAATTGCACCTAGTTACAAATTCTCAAAGTAAAAATGGCGGCTCCAAGTCCTGCTCAATCGTTTTCATCTGTGTTTTGTAAACGGACAGCATGATCGCATTTGACAATCGGGGCAGCTCACTTCCATCGCACGGAATTTGGACAAGTCACCAGCAAGAAACAGGAAGTAATCGGGAACAGTAAGAGATAGGATTCAGTCTCATTTAACGGATTCATGCCAGTCCACGCGGTTAGCGCAAAAGCTCCAAAAAACGCTCGCTCGTCAATCTTTTGTGGGCGATTGGGATTGGTTTTTGCTTCGATCAGTGTCACACCGCTTTGTATTTTTCGTTTAAAGTTTACACTATTTCCCAATTTAACAAATTCTTTTCTGGATGTTTTTCCTTCTAGGTGGGATGTTCCTGGTTGGTAATATTTTCACGTCTGGTCTAGAGATTTGTGAGAGGCAGTGTTGTATACAACACCCTTGAATTTATGAAGTGTTACAATCAATCATACGTCTGGATTTTTCAATTGTTAAAATATCTGTTATCAAACTAGAAGAATTGGACTTTCCATTGTTAAAATATCTGTTATCAAACGGAACACCGTGATATCATCTTATTCTTCCAAGCTGTGATATCATCTTCAAACTCCTCCAAACAATCGCCAGCAAGTCAAAGTCTTGATCGTGCTAAAACTCTCGGACATCAGTCTAGTCTCTCTTGGTAAAAACGAAGATCTCCTAGTATTTTAAAGCAGGAGTAGCAAAAGGTCGTCCAGCCGGCCCACAGAGTGAGACCCACACGCGTTTGTAGTAGAGAAGGTTCCAAAGCCGACATATTGACATGTTCTTACATCCTCTGGTGTTATATATCAAGCCGCATCCCTGTCAGGCATATACAAGCGTTTGAGCGAAGAAAGAAAAAAAGGAAACGATCGTCTCGCTTCGCTCGCTTGTCATTCCAAACTCTTTTCAGGAGGTCCGGGTCCGATGGCGTATAGTCGAGCGGCAGCGTGGTCGTGTTTGATTGCTGTGATGCTGCTAGGATTCCAAGCCAATGCTCAGCTCAGCTCTTCCTTTTACTCGAGCACCTGTCCCAACCTCATTTCCATTGTCCGAACCGCCATCAGCAATGCTGTCAACAGAGAGAACAGGATGGCGGCATCCATTCTCCGTCTCCACTTTCACGATTGCTTTGTAAACGTAAGCTGGAGTTTCTGAGATCCCAAGTTGCATTTCAAAGTTGTCGCCTGACTTGTTTCTCCTTTTCTTTCCTCTGTCTCTTGTAGGGCTGTGATGCATCGATTCTTTTGGATGGATCCAGTGGAGAAAAGAACGCAGGGCCAAACGTGAACTCTGCCCGAGGCTTTGATGTCATTGACAATGTCAAGGCCGCGGTGGAGAGCTCCTGCAAAGGCGTTGTTTCGTGTGCCGACATTCTCGCACTCAGCGCGAGGGAAGCCGTTGTTGCGGTAACGATTTCTATCCTATCCTTACCTCGTCTGATACTTCGTTCCTCCGAAGCTACCCTAAACCAGAGCATTTTGAAAACTTTCTGATGGTGCAGCTTAGAGGACCGTCTTGGACTGTTGTCTTTGGGCGACGAGATAGCACAACTTCGAGCCAGAGCACTGCAAACTCGGCAATCCCCCCACCATCGTCCACTGCCTCGAGGCTCATTACCAGCTTCCAGAACCAAGGCCTCTCAACTCAAGATCTCGTAGCGCTGTCTGGCAGTCACACCATCGGCCAGGCCCAGTGCACCAACTTCCGGGCTCGCCTGTACAATGGCACTTCAGGTGACACCATTGACGCATCATTCAAATCGAACCTGGAGAGGAACTGCCCGAGCACCGGAGGGAACTCGAATCTTGCGCCTCTGGATCTTCAGACTCCGGTCACCTTCGACAACCTCTACTTCAAGAATCTGCAGGCTCAGAAAGGCCTCTTATTCTCGGACCAGCAGCTGTTCTCCGGCGGCCAGAGTTCTCTTATGTCGACTGTCAACACTTACGCCAACAACCAGCAAGCGTTCTTCAGTGCTTTCGCAACTGCCATGGTAAAGATGGGAAACATCAATCCGCTCACAGGATCAAACGGCCAAATTCGAGCAAACTGCAGGAAGACAAACTAAGAACATGGACAGAAGGCAGGAAAATACTAGTTACTCGCGTGATGTATTTCCAAGTTTGCGCCTGGGTGTAGCCTGTGTACCTGAAAGTAAGAACTCAATAACACTTTCGGCTCAACAACGAGCTTTCTTTTACCTCACTCAAATACAAAACTCGTCAAGGCAAACAGATACAATTATATCCGTTATTCTTTTGAAGTTATTGAGATTGGACTCCTGGCAGATCTCACATCCAGCTTCATTGATCTTGGTTTTGCTGGCAGCACCAGCTCCTCGATTTAGATTGTCGAGCAGGTTCATAAGTTGCTTGATTGCTTCTTTCTTCTCTTTGGCACTCTCTGCAAATGCCTTAAACATGTAATTTACAATCTTCAGGCTGTCTGCTACTTGTTTTTCCAGGCCTCCAACCTTGCGGTAACACAAGAAAGATAATATCTGGACATCTCCACACTTCTTTCCAACCTCCTAGGCTTTCAACTTCATAGCCCCTACGCTCTCTCTTTGTCCCAGTCATTGCGCTTTCAAGGCGTTTGTGACTCCAAAGATGGACTTTCAATTACCAAGAAACCAGAGGTACTTCATCTCACCTCACTCACTTGTCATCTCAAACTCTTCCCAGGAGTTTCAGGTCCAATGGCATATAATCGAGCGGCTGTGTGGTCATGTTCATGGCGGCGATGCTGCTGAAGCCAATGCTCAGCTCAGCTCTTCAAGTACCTGTCCCAACTTCATTTCCATTGTCCATCACAAACTTTGTCAACAAGGAGAACAGGATGGCAGCATCCTTTCTCCGTCTCCACTTCAGCTGGAGTTCCTGAGATTGCAAGTTGCATGTCAAGGTGTCCCCTGACTTGTTTCTTCGATTCTTCTGGTTGGCTCCAGTGGAGAAACGAAAGCAGGACGAGGCATTGATGTAATTCACAACGTCAAGCACGCGATGGAGAGCTTCAGCAAAGGCGCGTGCACTCAGCGCGAGGAAGGTTGTTGTGGTACCTATCCTGACTCTGTCCCAGCTGTTCTCCGAACCCGAATATCTATCCTACGGGTTACCTCGTCTGATCGTCCCAAGATCATGTATCCCCTCTATTTCCCTGTTCCATTCACCTCAGAGCCTCTGGAAACTTCTGATGGTAATTACTTGTTGTGGACCGTCTTGATAGCACAACTTCGAGCCAGAGCACGGCAAACTCGGCAGTCCCCGCACCATCGTTCACTGCCTCGAGGCTCATTACCAGCTTCCAGAACCAAGGCCTCTCAACTCAAGATCTCCCATCGGCCAAGCCCAGTGCACCAACTTCCGAGCTCGTCTCCACAGTGGGACACCATTGATGCATCATTCAAGTCGAACCTGGAGAAGACCTGCCCGAGCACCGGATGGAACTCGAATCTTGCGTCTCTGGATCTTCAGACTCCAGTCACCGTATATGAGCAAACTGCAGGACGACAACTAAGAACATTATTTAACATACAAGACAGAGGCAGGAAAAATACTTGCCTGATGTATTCCGAATGCCTGGGTGTGCAAGCAAAAGGAATGAAATTACTCTTTCGGCTGAGACTCGCTACAAAGAACATTATAAAACTTTATTACCTCACTCAAATACAAAACGATTGTCTTGGCTGCATCTCCATACAAGTAGTAGCGTCTATATGAAGGACGCTTGCTGAAGTCCAAAGCAGCCTTTTACACACTACAAACAAATACAACTACATTAGTTACTCTTTTTATATTTTTGAAATGAGTACCTTAGGACGTAAAACAGCCTCTCCTGGCAGATCTCAAAGCCAACTTGTCGTTGTAGTCATTGATCTTAGCTTTTGCTGACAACACCAACTCTTCCAGCCACTGATTTCGATTGTTGAGCAGGTCAATAGAGAAGCAAAGTTGCCTGATTGCTTCCCTCTTCTCTTCGGCACTTTCCGCAATGGCATCTCTCTGCCTTTGGTTTTCCATCTCTAGCTCAGACACCTGCCGGTTCATCTCCGCCACCTTCGAGTTTAGACTTGACACAGTCCATTCCCTGTCTTCTGCCAAGCACTTGAGCCTTTGGATTTCATCAGAAAGGTTTGATGCTTCGTTTCTTTGCTCAACCAGAGCATGTTCCTTGGCTTCGTCGTTTTCGGCCAGGCTGAATACCTGTTCGATCAAGGATTTGTTCTTGGCCAGCAGACTCGTGGCTGTGCCCTTCATAAACCTCAGACCAGCTGTAAGTTCTCTCTGCTTTTCCTCTTGCTCCTCCATCAGAACTTGCAGCTTCCCATTCTCTTCCTGTAAGAAGGCAATCTCTTTCTGCATTGACGAAGAAGTCAGGGATGACTTCTCGTCAAGTGAAGAATACTTCTCCTCCAGCTCCCGGAGGTTGTGTTGCAAAGTCTCTTTCTCGGCGCAAAGCTCCTGAACCTCTCCCTCCAGCTTCTTCGTCAGCTGCTCCAGCTCGGCTTTCAGCGTATTGTTTTCCTTCTGCACCCTGAGAAAATCTTCTCTGAACCCGTGCAGTCGTTTCTCAGTCTCACGATGTTGCTGCAGCTTCTCCCTGGCCTTCTCGCTGAGTCTCTTGTTCTCTGCCTGAGACCTCTCCAAAGCTTCCTGTAACTTCTGAATCGCCAGACTTGCACCATCAGCCTCCCCATCAGAACACGATGAGGACGACGAGGATTCCTCCCCGTCCTGACCCTGCTCCACCGACTTCTCGTCCACGCTAGAAATATCAAAGTGATCCCCGTTGCCGTCACATTCGCCAGTCTCGCTATTGGAATCGGTAAACAAAGTGGAAGAAGTTTCCTTAATAATATCACTTCCTTGCTTCTTCTGTTTGCCGAAAGGAGACGATCGCGGGGACTCAGAGACAAGCCCGTACTGCGATTGAATTGTGGATGGTATCTGCCGAATGCTTCCAGTAAGTTGGTCATACCGCTCAGCCAAGGCCCGATAGCCTCTGTAGAACTGCTCCACCACTTTCAAGAGATCCGGCCTCTTCTTGTAATACATCTCCGCTCTCTGAGCAAACGAGTCGGCATCCCCTTCTATCAAAACCAGCATTGCCTGTACATTCGCCTCAACATCTGCTAACAAAAAAAAATCAAAACTTTAGCAAACACGTTGCTTCATAGCGGGAAGAATCCCAGGAAAGAGTAAACTTACCTCCCAAGTTTTCCTGGAGCCACTTTGAGTGCTTTGGGCGATTATGGCTTTCCCACCACCAGGACTGAGAGCTCCCAATGTCCATCTTCATGAGCTCCCAAGTGGACAAAATCTCCCTGCGCCATGCATCACACAGAAGAAACTTTAGCAACCTTATCTAAGACAAATCCAAACAGGAGGAGAAATCGTCACGACAGGACCACGAATGGCGTGTCGCGACATGCAAGATGATCTCCTCTAAGAAACCATTCTCATTCCTTCGAGACCCCAAATCGCGGACGCATAGCATGCAGCCACACTGAAATATGCAAGAAGGTCAAGATCGATCATCTCTCGTGCTTGCGCAATGGACATTTCGCCAAGAAACGATCTATGATTCATGATATTCGCCCTCCCTCTCTCGCGATTCAGGGATGCAACGCGCTCGCCATGGAAGGATGCAATGCAACGATCTAATCAAGCACAGCGCTTACTTGGATTCGATCCCGCCAAGAGCCGCGCTGTGGAGGCGGCGCACGTTTCTTCCAAGATCCACACCGCGCAAAACCTTCCCCTATTCTCTACCTAGGCAAGAACAAAAGAAATAAGATACACTGCGCGACGAGGCAATAATGGCCGTCGGATGCCAGCAGCCGACGGCCAGGAATCTTTGCGCAGGCAGCCGTTGGAGACATCTCAGATGGGCGGCCTGGATGCGTCCTTGTCCTTGTCACGCCCGCCACGTGGCACAGCCCCCGCATTTTGAAAATTTTACCGCGCTGTATGTTTGGGGGGCTCTCCGGTAAAGTCATTTAGGGGAAATATTTTAATCCCGATGGAATATACTCTCGAGGTATTTATTTTGGGGTTCTTCGCGAGGACAGAGATTAGAATTTGTAGTACAAAGAAAATGGCGGCTACCGCGGCCAATCTCTTCACTCCGGAGGACTTTTCTTCGTTCAAGGAATCGCTGCGCGGCGTCAAGGATCTCGTCGACAGCGGCATTCGCGAGCTTCCAAGGTTCTACATCCGATCGGACAGCCGGATGCGCGTCCAATCGTCTGTATTGCCGCCCGGGGGCGAGGTTCCGATCGTCGATCTCCGGGAGCTGGATGGGAGCGATCGCGGCCGAATCGTCGAGGCGGTGGCGAGGGCATCGGAGGAGTGGGGTTTCTTCCAGGTAGTATCTCATCACGAGATCTTTCACGAAATATTTCCATGGATTTCTAGGTGATCAATCACGGAGTCGAGGCTGCCACAATCCACGAAATGGTGGAGGTCGCGAAGGAGTTCTTCGCCATGCCTGTGGAAGATCGCATGGAGATTTTCTCGGCGGACTTGTTTAAGAGGACGCGATTTGGCACCAGCCACAATCCATCGCAAGAAACTTCGCTCGAGTGGAAGGATTATTTACGGCATCCTTGCCTTCCACTGGAGGAGTCTATGCAGTCCTGGCCAACAAAGCCAGCTTCATACAGGTATCATTTTTTATTTCGCGTAAGCCACTAGAACACTAAAAGATACCACGCACAATTTTCTTTTGTTTCTTAACCAGGAGGGTCGCATCGGATTACTGTAGAGGAGTCAAGGGCCTGGCGGACAAACTCCTGGAAGTTCTCTCCGAGAGCCTTGGCTTGGAGCGGAGATACCTGGGCAGTGTTTTTGGCAGCGAGAGGCTGCAAGAGATGTTTTGCAACTATTATCCACCTTGTCCGAATCCAGAGCTTACGATCGGGATTGGCGAGCACTCGGACGTGGGAGGCATCACTGTGCTCCTGCAAAACGAGGTGGAGGGCCTGGAAGTTCGCAAGGACGGGCACTGGTACTCGATCAAACCAGTGAAGGATGCCTTCGTCGTCAACCTTGGCGACCAGCTCCAGGTACCATTCTTTCGGCATTTTCTCTTTTGGAACTTTGGTGGACGATGCCTTACAGATTTTGAGCAACGGGCGATTCAAGAGCGTGGAACACCGTGCCAAAGTCAGCAGCGACAAGCTTCGCATCTCGATTCCTACGTTCTATCAGCCGTCGAGAGGAGCGCGAATTCGTCCCATTCCGGAGCTACTGGACGAGGAGCACCCCCCGGCCTACAAGGAGGTAACTTTCCAGGATTACTTGGCCGATTTTTTCAAGCACAAGCTGCAAGGCAAGAGATGCCTCGACTCTTACAAGATCTTATAATGGGAAGTTGAATAAGAACGCTATAGCATAAAAAAGATCGATTCTTTATTTTATAATAGCCATGCTCAGGTTATACTAGAGCTAGCGCAAATAAGAGCATCAAAGCGCATGGCCACGGCTTTCTAAGTTGTGATGAAGATGGAGTGGTGGAAGGAGAGCTTTGTGTTGGTGCTGGTGCTGGTGGTGACGGTGGCGATGAAGGTGGGGGTGAAAGTGGTGACGGTGGCTCCAACGAGTCAGGAGAGGCGGGTAAAGGTGACGGTGGCTCCAACGAGTCAGGAGACGCGGGTAAAGGTGACGGTGGTGACTGTGATGGTGACGGTGACGGGGAGAGCAAAGGTGGCGAGATCTCTGGATTGAAACCTCCAGCAGCAAACTCCCATGCAAGAACTTCATAGCCATCGGCGAAAGCACCCGTTGCGGCCGAGAATCCAACCCAAACGCGATCACCCAAGAAATCGTTCAGTCTCACCACGCCTGAAACCATCGGCTCCTCGGGCCTTGGCTCGTAAAAGTAGCCCAATCTCACCTCCAAAACGCTGCTGTTGCTGCTGTAGTCGATCCAGGCGGACATGAGAGTCATGTTGGTGAATTGAAGCCCGCTGGACGAGAGATTCGCCACCCGGTACGAGTTCCTCACGCTGTTTATGTCGATGCCGACGTGCTGGTCTTGCGTCTCGTTCACGTTTGGGTATGTGTCGAACTCCACCGCCACCATCTGGTTGCTCGGATATCCATCTCTGTTCGCCGATATCAAGCCCAATTGGCGGCCAGAGCTCTCCTCCGGTGGAACTCGCGGGTCCTCGGTGGAGGAGGTGAGAAAGAACGCGAGGCCATCGGCGGAGATCAGGCCCTGGCGAATCCGGAAAATGAAGTTGGTGCTGAAGGATGAAACAGTGTTGGAGCTGCTATCGACGAGCCTGATTCTCTCCGCGTAGATTGCTCGCCCGGTCTCGAATCGCGATCTGGAAGTCAGGCGCAAGCAAGACCCCGTCTTGGTTGCGTTGCCTCCCACCAGGATCCTGTCATTCTTCGTGAAAGGGGGCGAGAAGGAGAATCGAAAGGATGAGACAAGAAGAAGATGGAGCAAGAAGAGGAGGAAAACGAGGAGACTCGATGATCCATGGCCAGCCATGACAATCCCCAATGGAGTGCAATGGGATGAATTCTCATGGATTTCAAGGAAAAGGTCGCTCGTGCTCCCCGTTCAACACGGTAGCGCAAGCGCCTTTTTGACTGGTAAGTCAAAAAGAGTCAATTAATTTTACCGTTGACGACATTAGTTAAACATAGTCAAAGCCCTAGCTCTTAAACCCTAGCCCTCGCCCATGGCACTGAGCGCCGGGCGGGGGCTTCGCTGCGCCGCTGCTGGGAGGCGTCGCGAGTGCCTGCATTTGATCGTGAGGACGTCGTGGGATTCGCTCAGCGCGCATCTCGCGAATGATGGAGGTAAGGCGATCGGCAAAGCGAAGGCGCAGAGTGATGCTTCTGCCAGGGCTGCTGCATTGCCATCGCCAAGCAAGGAAGAGAGGTCCAAGCCTGGTGCCGCGAGGAAGCAAGGAGAAACAGCGAAGGCGATTGATTATAGGAAGAAGCCTGTGCTTGTTGTTGACAAGGAGAAGGAATGTCCAGTGGATGATAAGAAGAAAAACTTGGGACGTGCTCTTGGCGAGAAGAAAAGCTTGGAGCCAGTTCTTAGCGAGAAGAAGGCTGTGGTTGGAGAGAAGAAGAAAAGCTCGGTATCGATTCTTGGCGAGTACAAGTGCTTCAAACTTAGCGAGGAGAAACGAAGCATTGCTGACGAGAAGAAAGGCCTGGACAAGAAAGAAGTTTCTGATGCTATGAAGGTCGTTTCAAGCAAGGAAAGTGGTCGGGGTTCGAGAAGGACGGATGAGAAGTCGGATGGAAAGGTGAATTCGTCCGAGGTACACGAGAAGAAGTTGGCAGATGCTAGAAAGGAGTTTCCTTCGAAGCACAGTAGGCGGGATTTCCAGAAGAAACTTAACGACAGGATGGAAGAGAAGGAGAGCTCGAGAAAGCTCGAAGAGAAGAGGAATAGAAGAAGCTCGGTGACGAATGCCGTGGAGAGAATCAACATGAAGAAGGGTGCCGAGAGAAGATCGAACCCGCGGGATGGAAAAACTGCCGACTCGGAAAAACCTCCTGGCGATGAGACTGCCGTGCAGAGGCTCCAAAAGGAAGCAGTGACTGACCGCGACAAGGCTGCTCGTGACAAGCTCGAGGAGCTCTCGGAAGCCAACAAGAGATTCAAGGACGAGCTAAAGAGCGAGAGAAGGTGGCGAAAGTGGGAGGGAGTTAAGCAGGAGTTTAAGCTCGAGGAGGACGACTGGAAGGCATGGGGGCGCGATCGACGAGACAGCTACCGGCGAGAGCTCTCAAACGCGAGAGGTCGTCTGGAGCAGCGTGACGGTGGTGGCGAGTACAGAAGCATCGATCCAGCAAGCAAAGAAAAGCTCGAAGAGATGAAAGCTGTGGAGAGCCTCAAGCACCGCCGCGAGCTCTTCTACAGCCAGCCTGCGTGCGTCGACACTTTCGAGCTCGGAGACGCGCTGCGAGAGTGTGCCAGGACGAGGAACTTGGCCGAAGGGAGGAAGATCCACGCTCGACTCGCCGAAGGCTTCTACGATCGACACACTTACCTCGGCAACCTCTTGATCCAGATGTATGGAAACTGCGGCAAGATCGAGGAGGCTCGCAGCGTCTTCAACATGCTGGACGAGAAGAACGTCTTCTCGTGGAACATCATGCAAGCGGCGTTCATCCAGAACGGATTCGTGCAAGGCGCTCGGCAGATCTTCGACGCGAATCCAGACAAGAGCGTGGTCTCGTGGAACAGCATGATCGCGGCCTACGCTCACCGGGGGATGCTGGACGAGGCAAAGAATTTGTTCGAGAGCATGCCGATCAAGAACGTCGTCTCCTGGACGGGGATGCTTCAAGCTCTCTCTCGCAGCGGCAATGTGGAGGACGCAAAGCAGCTCTTTGACAAGATGGAAAACAAGGATCCCGTGACTTGGAACACCATGCTCTCGGCCTTCGCGTCCAAAGGCATGCTCAAGGAGACCAAGAGCTTGTTCGAGGAGATGCCTTTCCGGGACCGAGTTACTTGGACGGCCATGGTCACGGCTCACTCCCAGGCCGGGCAGGGGAAGGAGGCGATACGCTACTACTACCAAATGGCTCTCGAGGGACTCCAGCCGAACAGAGTTACGTCCTTGACGGTTCTCCACGCCTGTGCCGAGTACAAGAACTTCAAGGTGGCGAGAGCTTTCCACGAGCTGTTCGTGGAGAATGGCCTGGAGGTGGACGTGACTATCGGCACCGCGCTGGTGGACATGTACGCAAAGTGTGGGAACCTTCATCAGGCTCAGGTGGTTTTCGATCGGATGCCCGACCGGGACGTGGTAACTTGGACGGCGATGACCACCGCGTACGCCAACGCTGGGAAGTTTGGCGATGCTCAGGGGCTCTTCGCGGCCATGCCGATCAAGAACGTCGTCTCGCACAACACCATGCTGGGAGCTCTCATCAACGCTGGAAGGCTGGACGAGGCGAGGGAGATGTTTGAGAGGATGAGCGAGAAGAACTGGGCGAGCTGGAACTGGATGATCCTGGGATACGCAAAGTCGGGTTTTGGAAGGGAGGCGCTGCGGCTGTTTGGACTCATGGATCTGGAAGGCTACTACGCGGACAGATCGACTTACGCGAGCGCTCTCACAGCGTGTTCGAGCATTCCAGCTCCAGTGCAAGGCAAGCTCCTCCACCAGGAACTTCTGGAGAGCGGTGGCCTGGAAGACGATGCAGTGCTCACGACCGCGCTGCTCGACATGTACGCCAGCTGCGGAGGCCTGGAAACCGCCGAGATCTTGTTCCGGGAGATGATTTTCAAGGACGAAGTCGCGTGGACTGCGATGATCGCTGGATACGTGCGCAACGATCTCGACGTGAAGGCCGTGGAGCTCTTCCGGGAGATGCTGGCGAATGGCCTGAGCCCCGGGGCCGTGCCGTTCCTCCACTTGTTCTCGGCGTGTAGCCACCTCGGCTTCGTGGAGGAGTCGCGGTGGTACTTTTTGATGATGCTCGAGGACTACAAGGTGGTACCAGAGCTGGACCACTACTTGTGCTTGATCGACTTGCTGGGACGAGCCGGGCAGCTGGACAGGGCCGAGGAGCTAATTGAAACCATGCCATTCCAGCCTGTTGCTGGGGCCTGGAGGACGCTGCTCTCGGCTTGCAAGACGCACAACGATAAGGAGCGAGCAGACCGAGCGGCAAAGAAGAACAGTGAGCTGGATCCGGGGTGTGGCTCTCCATATCTCATCCTCTCCAACTTAAACGCAGAGGCCGGGAATGCAAAGGTGGAAGAAGCAATAGCAGCTCGTCAAGAAGAGAAGATGGTCGCAAGTAGAGTCTTACATGCCGAGGCCGGGAATGCAAAGGTGGAAGCAACAGGAGCTCGTGAAGAAGAAAGGATGGTCGCAAGTAGAGTCGAGCCCGGAGGAATCCAAGTGACAAACCAGGAACACCAACGCGGAGCTCCGGAAGATGAGCGATGGAGAGCCCGGGAAGAAGAACAAGGAACGAGCAAAAGCCAGCACGAAGTTTGGCAAGAAAACCAGTCCAGAGATTCGCAAGGCCAGAGAGAAAAGATCCAACTCGAGAAGAGTTTGGATCAACTTTCATCCCATATGGAGCAACTCTCATATGCAACAGGAGCTCGTCAAGAAGAAAAGATGGTCGTGCCTGGAAGAATCCAAGTGACAAACCAGAGAAGTCGGGAAGTCGAGAAGAGTTTGGATCAACTTTCATCCAAGATGGAGGAGCTCGCTTCTTCTTCTTCTTCCAGTCGACGATCGATGAGGCAAGGTGGCGATGAAACAAGGTGGTCGAGGACGAAGAGTAGTAGCAGCGAGTGGCCGGACGTGGAGTTCCCGCCGGACGATCGGAATGGCTTTGTGGAGGACGGCTATGTCCAGCGGCGTGAGATCTTTGGAGACTACCAGCGATCGCAAGGCCAGCTCCACCGAGAAGCTCGCTACTCTTATGATCCTCCAAGCCAGGAAACACGTAGCGACGATCATCGAGCACAGGACTACGACGAGCTGTGGCGAGAGGAGGAGAGCTGGGATCAGCCAGAGCAGCAAGCTCGGCCCTCGCGCAGTGACGACGATCGAATAGTTCCACGCAAGACGAAGGTGGAGCTCGATTGCTGGGAAGGCGAGCGTGACGATTACTACCAGCTGAGGCAGCGAGCTCTGAAGAACAAGAGCTCCTCCTCGTCTCACTACTCGCTGGTGAGCCAGGGAAGCTACGTGAAATCCAACGCCATGAAGGAGATGGAGTTTTTCTACGACAAAAAAGAGAAAGAGCTGCAAGAACAGGATTTTTACGAGCCAGAGTATGGATACAAGTGGTAACTTAGAGCGAATAACTTCTTACAAAGCTTTTATTTTGCGAGAAGATCTTGCGAAGATCACGTTAGCGAAGAACTTACAATTCATAGAACTTAAGTGCGAAGACTTTACAAAGCTTTTACTTTGCGAGAAGATCTTGCGAAGATCACGTTAGGCGAAAAACTTACAATTCCACATAGAACTTAAGTGATAACTTAGCAAAGAACTTACAAAGCATACAACTTAAGAACTTTTAAGTTGCGAGAAGATCTTGCCAAGATCACGGAAGAGAAAAAAGAGAAATATTTCAATACAAGAGTGGCTAGTATTAAAAGAACACAAAGGATAGCTACAGTGACTACTTCTCCTCACCTGTCAAATTCCAATTCTTCCCCAGAAATTGTTGATCTCGAGTTTTTCTCTCCTCTCCGTTTTGTTCTTTCCCTGCTTTCCTTGTTGGGTAAGTCCTCCGGCCTCTGAATTGCTGCTGCTTTTGTTTTGTTGCTGTTGAAGATCGCTTGTCGAAAATTTGTTCCAATCCCCCGACAGTGAAGTTCTTCCTTCTCCCCCTTTCGTTTTCTTCTCCTTTCTTCTTCTTCTTCTCCTTCTTCTTCGTCTTCTCACTGTCCTCCAGTCCTCCATAGCTGGAAAGGTTTGTAAGTACCGAAAGAAGAAACGCATTTCCTTCCCTGTAGCTCCTTTTTGTCCTGCCCCGTGTCGATATCCGCCAGTCCCTCCACACCCACACATTTGCTGTGCTACTGCCGCCACTGCTGCTGCTGCTGCTCGCTCAGCCACTACCCACTCCAAAAGCTCAAAAGAAATCGAAGTCCAGATACGAGCCTGACCCGTTTGCCTCGCCACCAACAGGAGTTACCGCTGGAGGAGCACTGGCCGGAGTCACCGGCCTCTTCTCCAGCGAGTGTTGCGTGGTAGTAGAGCTCAGCGGCGGCGGAGGTGGCGGCGGTGGTGCTACCCTGCTCGGAAGCACCGGCTCTGGCTCAAACGGCTTGGGGATCTCCGGCGGTACAGTCGACCGTATGAGAGCCCAGTTGACGCCTTCGAAGAAGGGGTGCTGCTTGATCTCGGTGGCGCCGCGCTTGGACGCCAGCCGGTGCTGCGGGTCCTTGACGAGCAGCCCGCGGATCAAGTCCCTCGCCGCGAAGCTGACGTGGGACGTCTCCGGGAACTTGAGCGGCTGGCCGACCACGTTGAAGAGCGTGGCCCGGTTGCCCGAGCCTTTGAACGGCGTCTTGCCGTGGAGGAGCTCGTAGAGGAAGATGCCGAACGTCCACCAGTCCACGGCACTGCCGTGGCCTTCGCCCTTGATGATCTCGGGGGCCAGGTACTCGTGAGTCCCGACGAAGGACATGGACCTTGCTCCTGTTGGCTCTGCGACCAGCTCCGGGAGTGGAGACACCTGGTTGCCGACGTCGTTCCTGGGCTTCCGGCTCTTCTTCGACTTGGCCTTGGAGAGGAACCGCGGGAGCAAGCACGATGGTTGCACGACGCATGCCGGTTGGATGCACGATGGCTGCACGCACGCCGGTTGTATGCAGTAGGCCGGCCCCCGTTTATCTCCATCCATGGACGACTTCACCAGCGTCGGGCTCACGACACACCGGAGTGACAAGTCGAAGTCGGACAGCATGATGTGCCCGTCCTCTCTCACGAGCACATTCTCCGGCTTGAGATCTCTGTAGACGACGCCCAACATGTGGAGGTACTCGAGCGACAGGAGCACCTCGGACGCATAGAACCTGAAAAAGTTTACGAGTATGAAATCAAAGTCCGATAAGAGGAAGACTATGAAGTAAAAAGTCGGATGAGAAGAAGACTCACTTGGCAGCTTGCTCGGTGAAATGCTTGCCCGGTTGCCGCTGCCTCAGTGTGTGAAGATCACCACCCATGCAAAACTCCATCACCAGGCAGGAGAACTTGTCCGTCTCGAAATGGGTGTAGAGCGTGGGGAGGAAGGGATGATCTAGCGACTGTAAGATCTCCTTCTCGGTCTGGGCCCTGAGCAGCTTCTTCCGGCTCGCCAGCGACGCTTTGTCCATCACCTTCATCGCAAAGTGGCAGCTTGTGCTCCGCAGCTCTGCCAAGTAGACGCTGCCGATATCTCCACACCCGAGCCTCTTCAAGAGCCGGAAGTGGCTGAGACCCAAGCTCCCATCCCGCATTCTCACCGACTGGATCGCCTCCCATCTCTTGTCGTTGGCCTTGTGGGGCTTATTGGCGCTGCTGCTAAAGCTGCTACAGCTACTCTCGTCGCTCACATCGCTGCTATTGCTTCCCCGGCTAAGGCTGCTCTTGGCGCTCTCAGCGAGAGCGCCCCCTCCTCCTCCTCCTCCTCGACCACTGATCTTCCCACCACTACACTTGACATCGCTGCTGGTGCCATCGCTGATCTTGCCACTGTTATCGGTGCTGCTGCTCCCCCCAGTGACTGTGCTGCTACTCAAACTAGTCTTGACGCTCATGTCTATGCTGCTGCTAGTGCTAGTGCTAGTGCTGCTATTGCTGTCGCCCTGGTGCTCCCAGTTTGGCTGCTTGGCCGTGTCCAGAGTCCCCATTCTAGCGCTACAAGGCCCAGGAACCCAGAAATCTAGATCAGAGCGAGAGCTACCTGGAATTGCCGTGCCTAGAGGCCGAGAAATCCTGCCAAGGGCTCCCCGGCAGCGACAAGACCTGATGTTTCCAGCTTCGAGAAAGAGGAGTGCGCTGCTGCTGCCGCCTGGGACCTAGCATGCATTGTGTTGCTTCCTCGAGCGCCGCGCTAGGCAAGAAATCGAGAGAGGGAAAAAGAAATATTTCGGCCGCGCGGGCGCCAATCTTTACTCCGCCCGATGCAACAGTGATGGCGCTGGTTGGAGCTCGGGCAGACCGCGCTATGGAGAATGCAGGGAAGACCAGTAGCAGCTTGCCTGTGGATCCGGATTTCCTCGAAGAAATTGTTGCGCCATGGAAAAGCCGAGGCGCGCCGCTCGAATTCCGCAGAGATCTGCCACGAAATTTGCCCCACCGCCCCCTTCCCGGCACAGATCTTGGCAAGCACACGCTAGCGCGGCGGAGAAACTGAGAAAGAGGCGCTTTGGATCCTCGGCTAGAACGCTACAAACACAGGAAGAATGACCTAGCGCTCTCTTTGCTCTCTCAGAGGAGCCGGGACCGTACAGATGTGGTCTCGGCCATGGCCCATCCAGTGGCTTCATCATTTGCATACGGCAAAAGAAGGATTCCGGCGTGGCTTGTGCGGAATATGCCGCACGCGTTTAAACCGCAAGTTTTATAAAAAGGGTTAAAAATGTTTTCATGTTATCGTGGCGCAGGAGTGTGGTACCTAAAAACGTTACTGGTTGGTAACGCTCCCTCCTTTTTCCCTGGTTTTCACCCCCAGAATCCGGAACGCCCATCCCACATTCCGGGACGGAATGCCCAGCCCTAAAAGCCCTATATGATGCGTTGCACCACCCCCCACTTGTCTTTGCTGCGTCTCGAGCGACAAAGAGATTTTGACACAATCCAAAATAGGGTCTCCGTAATCGCACTAGAGAAATTCATATTGTCTCTGGCCACCACAATAGCTTCCACTGTTCGTGCATGGTTTGCGTACTATAATGTGAAATCCCCGCATTGTTTTGGCATTACAATCCAAATGCCCGGCGATCCAATGTGTGGCGCCTGGACGACAAATGCCCTGTTTGGGGACGTGGACGCCCAGCATTACACGTCCTTGTTTATGCTATTCTATAAAGTTTGGCGGTCTAATACAGCATAGATCTCCTTGTTGCGACGCTGAGAGATCCCCAACTTTACAGGAATCCAAAGGGGCTTTTCATTTCCATTCATCTCCCTTTTGATTGATCATTCAAGGCAGCGAATTTTTCTTATCTCTGACGCTGATTGATCCAAGATCCAACTCACTTATGACTCGCGCGCATCCGCTAGAACAACTCTTATAATATAATCTCCCAAGTGAAGACAACAGACAGAGTCGCTAAATTGGGAATATTACTATTGTTCTCGTTGTTGGCTTTCACTTTCGTGCTGGATTCACGTGTTAATGTGGATAGTTACCTTTATATCTATAAATTTTAATTTATTTTAACAATAATAACAAGCTTATTATTATTTATTTATTTTTTGTACTGATTATGGTCTAATAGACTATATATATTGTTTGTGGTGGGAGTGAGTGATCACTCACAAGGAATACAGCCACTAGACACCACGACATTACCAGTGACCACACTACCACCCAAACAGACCAAAAGAAAAAGGTGGCATTATCCAACTTGCAACAAACATGTGCTTGGAATCTTCTCTGTACGGCGTCCTCTGCGCCGTACGTCGCCCATACCGGTCAGGGCCCAAGATATTCTACTAAAGAAGAGAGAATGCCAAAGGGGCCCAAGGCATATGCCTTAAGGACATGCGAAAAGGAGATGCTGGCGTTGCCGGGGACCCTCTGCTAAGGACACACCCGACAGGTGGCACCAGGCGCTGACAAACACGTGTCAGACGGGTATGGGCCATGGCCATATGTGGGTGTGAGCTGGAACCAGAGTGGCCATTTATGTGTGTAAGGAGATTTGGGCATCGGTTTCGAACTTTGGACTGGCTTTTGTATTGTGCGTATGTGCGCCTCTAATTTATTTCTATTTTATTTTGGATTTTATACATTTTTTACTTTTCTATTATTTTTCTCAAGCCAAGACACTACTCTAAAGACACAAACCATTCAACCAACGGACAGCGATCTTTGCTCTCTTTGTATTTTATTTCTCTCCGTCCATGTTGCATGTACTTAAGTGTCAGCCACGGTCGGACATTTACAAGGCTTGATCTTGATCGCAATCGCTGCTGCTGCTGCTCTCTCCAGATCGTTTGGTGTTGACATTGTTTGTTGGATTTGGAATGCCAAGCCGGCCAGTGCCCGGCCTATGGATAGGGATGATCATATCGAAATATCACTCGCTAGTTTCAAGGGGCTCTCGAGAGTGGATTCGAGCTCACGACCAATACGACTTCGTGGTTCGTGGGATCGTCAGCCATCCCCAGTGCTGTCATATAATATATATGGACTTTAAAACTTATATAATATCATGGGAAGACTCCAAGCCTTGAGAGTTTTCGAGGAACAATCCAGGAACACCGACTTATAAAGTGAATTAGATCTGGGATCTCTTCACTCTACTGGCTGGTTTAGCGCGTCAGTGGATTTGATGCTGCAAAAAGGTGGTAGGAAAAGTTTGGAATCTCTATCTAGTCCAGATCCAATACGATTACGAGAAGTTGTAAATTGCAGAGAAATTTCGATTCTTATTAAATAAAAGGGGCAGTAATGCTGCACAAAAACTATCATCTAGATCAAACAAAGTTTACTCATCGCATAATTTGATTTTAGAACAAGATGGCAAAGTTTGTAAGCTTAGTGATCGTCTTCATCCCATTGCTGCTCTTGCTCCTTGGCACCGCAGCAACGGCCCAACTGGGAAACAGTACAAATGCAACAGCGGTTTTCTGCTTTGGAGATTCAACAGTGGATGCAGGAAACAACAACTATCTCAACACATACTTCTCGATCGCAAGAGCAAATCACACTCCATATGGATGTGATTACGATAATCAAGCTCCCACTGGCCGCTTCTCCAATGCATTAGTCCTCCCCGATCTTATTGGTACACCCTCTATAATCTTTAGAGTTGACGAAAGTGAGCTAATATTTGGTAATGGTTGTTGTTGATCGATGCAGCGCAATACATTGGTGTTGCTAGAGCTTTTCCGTTTCTCCATCCATCTGCAAATGGAATGAATCTCACTCAAGGTGTTAACTTCGCATCCGGGGGAGCTGCAATCATCGATAAGCTCTCCAGCAACCTTGTAAGAACTCTTATGATTCTTGTAAGAATGTTGTTGATATGGCTCCTTTTCCCCAAGGTATTGCAAACTCCATACACCTTCAGCGTCCAAGTCGAGTGGTTTCGAAATGTCACTCAGAGACTACAAGCCGTGGAAGGTGCCACTGCTGCGGCTTCGCGAATTCGGAATGCCTTCTGCCTCATAAGCATTGGATCCAATGATTTTTCATACAAAAGCATGGACAGCACCACCGCAAGCCTCAGCGATGCCGATTTTAGAACCTTGCTCGTCAACACACTCTCCACTCGTATCCAGGTAATAATAATTAAAAATATTAACAATACTAATATTATTAATATTAAAATCTACTAATACTTGGTAATTATTTCCAGGACATCTACAGCATTGGATGCCGGAGATTCATCGTGTCCGCAATTGGACCGCTGGGATGCACGCCCATCACGCTTACACTCATGTGTGGCCCGTACAACGCTACGTGTCGATCGATGTGCAACGAGACGACCAACGGTATCGTCTACGCGTTCGACGTGGCCGTGGAGAATATGCTCAGGAATCTCTCCGCGAGCCTCTCCGGCTTCCGCTACTACTACAACTACGATGCTTTCAACATCACCCGGGACGCCATAAGCAATCCGGCCACATACGGTGAGCTATAGTTTTAACCATTGTCTTCGTATATAATATAGATTCCCTTATTTTCCCAGGATATACCACCGTGGATCGTGGCTGTTGTGGGAGTGGCACCACGGAGATTGGCGATGGCTGCCAGAGCTACTTTGGACTGTGCTTTGATCGCTCCAAATACATATTCTTCGATGCGATCCATCCAGGAGGAAAGCTCATCTCGCTATTAGCCAATAGATTGTTCCCATCGCTCTCGAGCTAGTAGATTTTGTTACTAGACGGAATATATAATGTTTTGCTACTTGACGGAATAATTAATGCTCTCGTTTGGTCCACATTGACGGCGTCTAGAACGCGGAATGTCTGGTGGCATATTCGCCTATATAGCATATTCACACTGTTGTTTCTTGAATCTTTCTCTTGCGCGTCTCCAGCGGCGCGCCCTGGACGGGGCTTCGATCAGTGCCTCCCAGTGCATGGATGCTCGCGGCAGCTCGGCCGCGATCCCGGGGAGATTTCTCCAGGTAAGTGAGCGAGAGATCTGGTGTTTGCGGTGTTTAGGTCAGGAGCGCGCGGCAATGGTGCCGCTGCTGGAGCTGGGAGTGAGGAATTGAGCGGAATTGTGCTGGCTTGACCCGGGCGCTGGCGATTCTTCCAGGTGTAGGGTAAATATTTTGATCTGGGGCGAGGTGTAGCGAAGCAATGGGATGCGTTTTCTCGTCTTGCGCCGGCAATGATATCACGAAGCCATCGGATGCTCCGTTCACCACTGTGACAAATGGTAAGTTCTTTTATCCTTTCCAGTGGGAAAAAAACAACTGTTCTTTGCTTGGTTTCCAGGCAACCCTGGTGGTGCTAAAGCAAATGAAGGAGCAAATAGAGCTGGACAAGCTGCCAGAGTCCAACCGATCGCTGTTCCAATGCTTGGCATTGACGAGCTGAAAGAAGCCACCGAGAATTTTGGTCCCAAGTCACTTATCGGCGAGGGATCCTATGGTCGAGTTTACCTTGCGGAGTTGCGAAGTGGTCAAGCTGCGATAAAGAAGCTCGACCAGAATTCACAGCCTGATCAGGAGTTCCTTGCTCAGGTAGGGATTTTCAAGCGTTCTACTGTTTTATCCATTCGCGTGGTGCTTCAGGTTTCCATGGTGTCGAGACTAAAAAATGAGAACGTTGTTGAGCTCATTGGATACTGTGTTGACGGGCCACTCCGTGTTTTGGCGTATGAGTTTGCAACGATGGGCTCTTTGCATGACATACTCCATGGTACGTTGTGAGCCTTTTCAAGTTGTTCGAATCTTACTGGTTATGTACCACCAGGGAGAAAAGGTGTTAAAGGTGCTTTGCCCGGTCCGGTGTTGGATTGGGCCCAGCGTGTGAAGATCGCGGTAGGGGCTGCAAAAGGGCTCGAATATTTGCATGAAAAAGTCTCTCCACCACTAATTCACCGTGACATCAAGTCCAGTAATGTTCTCCTGTTCGACGACTACACAGCAAAGATAGCCGACTTCAATCTTTCCAACCAGGCTCCGGACACGGCCGCACGGCTTCACTCGACTCGTGTACTTGGAACTTTCGGCTACCACGCTCCAGAGTAAGCCGTTATAACTTTCGATTCTTCGTCTAACGCTTTTTGGCTTTAGATATGCGATGACAGGTCAGCTTACACAAAAGAGCGATGTCTATAGCTTTGGCGTGGTTTTGTTGGAGCTCCTCACTGGGAGAAAGCCAGTGGATCACTCAATGCCTCGTGGACAGCAGAGCCTTGTAACGTGGGTAAGTAGGCTGTCAAGCTCAGTGGCGGTGCCTGGTACTTAAATGCGTTTTTTGCTCCCGATCGCAGGCCACACCCAGACTTAGCGAAGACAAAGTCAAGCAATGTGTGGATCCAAAGCTGAAAGGAGAGTACCCTGCAAAGGCAGTTGCCAAGGTAAGTTTGCTTCTTTTTCTTTCCTCCCAAGTAGTTTGACACGCGCTTTTCTTCTTTGCATAGATGGCCGCTGTTGCCGCTCTGTGCGTGCAATACGAAGCGGACTTTAGGCCAAACATGGGCATCGTGGTGAAAGCGCTCCAACCTTTGCTCACGGCCCGAGCCGCCCCGGCAGCGGAGTAAATTATTTATTTTCGAGTGCTTACCATCGCTGTCTTGTTCATAGGTAGGCCCTTGGTTATCATTTTGTAAGCATACGTACGACGATGCATTTGATGGCGCGGCTCTTTTATCCTCGGTGAAGTTTGGTTTTCCCAACTGATCCTGTATCTTCCATGTTTTCTACATTGTAGCAGCTGAAAAGAAAATGAATAGCGAGGTGGTTTTGGTTTCTGGATTTACTCTTTGTTTCAGATGGTTCGAGCTCTGGATGAAAACTTGTGCATCCCAGCTCGACTTAGTTCTCGCTCTCAGGTTCTTAAGAATGATATTCCAATGTCTAACAAGTTGCTCCAGCATTATAGCAAGCAGGGAAACGTCCAGCAGGCACGAATCGTGTTTGACAATATCACCGTCAAGGACTCTTTCTCGTGGAACATCATGCTATCAACGTATGCCCGGGGCGGGTGTGTGGAGGAAGCCAGGATTTTCTTCGAGGACATGCCGAGCAGGGACATGGTTTCGTGGAACGCGTTGCTCTCGGCGTATGCCCGGAGCGGGCATGTTGAGGAGGCCAAGCAGGTCTTTTCCTCGATGCCCAGCTCCAATCTAGTCTCGTGGACGTCGTTACTGGCCGCTTATACGCAGAACGGGCATATCAAGCTAGCAAAGTCGGTCTTTGAGGAGATGCCGCAGAGGGATATGATGGCCTGGACTATAATGCTTACGGCCTTGACGCAGAGATATCTGGTGATGGAGGCCGAGAACGTTTTCTTCAACATGCCCGAGTATAATCTGGTATCCTGGACTGCTATGCTAACTTGTTATTCCCAGAGCGGGCATATTGAAGAAGCAAGTTTGGTTTTTCACGCCATGGAGCAGCGTGACATCGTTGCTTGGACTGCGATGGTGGCTGCCTATGCGCAATCGGGGTATGTCAAAGAAGCTATTCGGATCTTTAGCAAAATGCCGGAGCTTGACTGTGTCACTTGCAGCACCATGATTTGTGTCTACACCCAAGACGCGGACTTTCGCAAGGCCGAGGAGGTTTATAACGCGATGCCGGAGTGGAGCGTCGTGACCATGAACGCGATGCTAAGTTGCTACGCTCAGAGTTCTCAGGTGGAGCGGGCCAAGAGGGTGTTCGACGAGATCCCGGAGAAGAGCTTGGTGTCCTGGAACGCGATGCTTTCGGGGTATGCACAGAACGGGGAGATTGAGAAGGCAAAGAACGTTTTTGATCGCATGGAGGAGAGGGACGTGGTGTCGTGGGACGCGATGGTTTCCGGGTATGCTCAAAACGGGTATGTCGAGGAGGCTAGAAGGATCTTCAACGCGATGCCCGAGAGGAACCTCGTCGCCTGGAACGCACTCTTGTGTGGGCTGGCACTGAACGGAAGTGTGGAGGAGGCCGAAGAGCTGCTGCTGAGCACCGCCATGGACGATCGCAACATCGTCTCGTGGACTGCGGTGGCTATTGGCTATGCCCAAGTTGGTCATCTCCAAAAAACCAGGAGAGTCTTCGACGCTATGCCCGAGCGCGACGCGGTGGCCTGGAACGCGATGCTCGAGACGTATGCTTACAATGGCCGGACGGAGTCGACGCTGGAGCTCTTCCACACCATGGCTCTCATGCAAACTCCAGGAGAAGCAGGCTTCGTTTGGATTCTCCTGGCTTGCAGCCACGCAGGAAAGCTTCGATCGGGGCTCGGCTACTTTGCTTCGATGACGAGAGATTGGAAGTTGGTTCCTCTCAAGCAGCACTTCTGCTGCGTGGTGGATCTTCTCGGCCGGGCCGGGTACTTGGGCGAGGCCGAGGTGCTCGTGTCGGCCATGCCGAGCGATGCCCGAGAGCTGGGGTGGTCGTGCTTGCTGGGAGCTTGCCGGGGACACACCGAGATGGACATGAGCCGGGGAGCTCGAGTGACTAAACAGGTGCTCGGGCTGGACAGGAGGAAAGCCACTCCGTATGTGCTGCTGGCCGATATGTTTCGATCGACGAGCAAACTCTTCCAATTCTCTGCTCCAAATCCACCATTGCTACTCACTCGCTCGAAGTTCTTCCAAGAACTAAAGTAAAAACTTTGGACAAAGGAGAAAAGCAAAGAACTATAAAGTAGAAGCTTTAAACGAAGATTTCCCTCGCCCTTATGACATTGGCCATAAATGTGTCACGCTGGCGTCTGACGTGTCTGCTACGTTGGATATCGATGAGCCCAGAAAGATTTCTCTCGGCTCCCTCCCTCTCGCACTCTCCGTTGGCGGCTATCTAGCAGGGGAGCAGCGCAGGCGCTAGGGTTTCGCGGCGCGATGGATCATCGCGCTCTTCCCGGCGGTAGACGGCAGCGCGGCTAGCTGGATCAATGCCGCTCTAGCGGGGTTCTTGATAGCCGGATGCGATATTTCGTGCACTCTGCCGGCATTCTTGGAAGATCCATGGCCGATAGCGCAGCTCCTCCTCCAATCCCACCGCCGCCGCCGCCTCCCGCGAGCGAGGATGTGATTAGCAGGAATCCTCTCTCGGTGGGTGTGATCATCGGGATTTGCATTGGCGTGAGCCTCAGCCTCTTCCTGGCGACGTGCGCAGTGATTTGCGTGAGGCTGCGGCGCGTCAAGCCGGGATTGTTCCGCGGCAACAGCAGCGAGAGGAAGGAGATCGTGCTGCCGATGCGAGTGAATGGAGCCGACTCGAGCACCATCCTCTCCGACTCGGATGTGGGGAATCGATCGCCATCGCAGCAGCAGCAGCCCAGCGTCACTTCTTTCCTAAAAGCCAACAAGGAGTTAAATTACAGCGCTGGGATTCTTCCATTCTCATTTAAGTAAGTTCTTCCTATGTGTGTTCTTGCTAAAATTTGCCTCGTCCTTCCTTCTCTTTGGCTGGCTGCGCAGGGAGCTCCAGAAGGCCACCAACAATTTTACTACGCTTGTTGGGCGTGGAGCTTTCGGCCCAGTTTTCAAGGCCGTTCGTCCCACTGGTCCAGTGCTCGCTGTGAAAGTCCTCGACGTGAAATCCAAGCAAGGAGGGCGAGAGTTTCAAACCGAGGTAAGCGGACGAGAATCTCTTTTCCTTGCTTTGCGTAGCTATGTCGCAAGCTCTTTTGCTTTTGCTTTCCCAGGTGCTGCTGCTTGGACGACTCCACCACCGAAATCTTGTAAACTTGGTCGGATACTGCGCGGAGCGAGGCCACTGTATGCTCGTGTACGAGTTCATGAGTGGTGGGAACTTGGCAGAGATCCTTTACAGTGAGTCGGAGTCGTGATTTTGCTGCCACTAACGAACTTTATGTCGGATCCATTCAGACGAAGAGCGCGCGGCTTTAAGCTGGAAGCTTCGGGTGAGCGTGGCGCATGATATCTCGAGGGGCATTGAGTATCTTCACGACGGGGTATGATCTTAAATGCGCGGTTGGTTTCTGGTCGATAGATTGATTGACGAAGATCTCGATCTACATTGTTGTGCAGGCTGTGCCTCCAGTGATTCATCGAGACATCAAGTCTTCCAACATACTGCTGGATGCCATGTCCACTGCTAAAGTTCGTCACTGTTACTGGTCCACCAACAAGAAAAAAACTGTTTCTTCGTGCCTGTGTAGGTGGCGGATTTTGGGCTGTCCAAGGAGATGACGTTTGGAGTCCCTACGTCGGCTGTCAAGGGCACTTTCGGCTATGTTGATCCACAGTACCTCTTGACAAACGTTTTTACCGAAAAGAGTGATGTCTACAGCTTCGGGATTCTTTTGTTCGAGCTCATCACTGGACGGAATCCGCAACAAGGCCTCTTGGATTACGTGAAACTGGTACGATGGTTTTCTCCTGGCTTCTTCACAGTGCTTTTCTCTTGCAGGCTGCTTTGGGGGTGGAAGGCGCAGACGGCTGGGGAGAACTTGTAGATCCCAGGCTCGAGGGGCATTGCAACTTGCAAGAATTCGGGCAGATAGCTTCCATCGCATTTCGCTGCGTCAACGAAGACCCTCGACACCGGCCAAAGATGCGGGACGTTTCACAGTGGCTATCACGAGTCGGGCACAAAGGTGACGCCGCTTCCGGCTACATTGCCGCCTTAGCACCGGTTCCAGAGGCACACCCGGAGGAGACGGACGTCTCAGATGTGGAGTTTCACGGCTCGCCATCCTAACAAACGGAAGCTCAACGTTTCTCAACCTTTGCTTTCTTGGCGGGAGGGCCCTGCTCGGTCGACTGCTCTGGTTGCGAGTCTTGGGGCTGCTCGGGGACACCACTGGGTGGTGTGGGCATTGGAGGAGGAGGAGGAGCCGGAGGAAGCTGAACCGGAAAGAACAAGAACTGTCAACGATCACGAACAGGAAAAAGAGACAAGAGGCTCACCTTGCGAAGAACATTTCCCAGTATCTGGTCGATCCGGAGGATTTCCTTGAGATCGACACGGCCGGAGGTATCGCTCTCGTGTTCATTCTCGTCGTCTACATCAGAGCATAGTCAGGACGAACGACGCAAAACAGGAGGTTTGGACATACCATAGCCAATCTTCTCGAGCTTTGCCGAGACTTGGGAGAAGGCAGCGGAGATGTGATGCACAGCTCGGGCCTAGAGATCAAACGGGCGGATCATCAGAAGAAGCAGAAGAAAAGGCCTCGGGACTCACCACTCTGCTGCAAACAACGCTGTAGAGCAGCGGTGCTTGATAGATATGGCTGTCAAGGATATAGTAGGCCGAGAGATGCAACACTTTGTCCGGGCTCTCGCGCTTTTGCTTGCGGAGGACAAAGAGATTGGGCTCCTGGGCTTCGAGCAGCACGTACTCCACTCCAGTCATCTTCCTGGCACAGCACAAAACGAAGAGAAACCTCTTGCGAAGGAAGAACAAGGCGCTTGATTCTTACGAGAGCTGGGTCATGTCGAGGGGATGGACGGAGCGCATTCGCAGCTGCTCGTTGGAGCAAGAGCGATCGTAGAAGGGCGAGAGGACGAAGTAATCGAAGACGAGGTTGCGATCGAGAGGGTATGTGCTGAGCCACAGCTGATCGTGGAAGCTGATACCTGTCTGATCCGTCGGCAATGGCGGAGCAGCACCCCCCAATCCCTCTGCCATCAAAACCCTAAAATTTGGGGCTCTTCCGGTCAGTTTAAAAAAGGTCAACCCTATTCAGCATTAGTCAACGATCGTGTGTTGACTAATCTGTCAGGTAGTAAATCTTTTGGTCGTTGGATCCAACTGTATCGACGGCTTCCTCCTGCTGACGTGGCGCAATCGTCACTGTCGGCCCCATTAAAGATCGCGCGAGAGACTCAGTGTGCTCTAGTCGTGCGGGGGCGAGGTTTAGAGGTAGCTTAGGGTTCCTAGCGTTCGCTAGGGCGGCCGGCGTGCGCGAGCTATGGCGCCCGCGAGCTCGGTGGGCGCGCCGGCTGCGCGGGGATGGAGCTGCAGAGGTATTGATCGCAGATTCGGCAATGCCGGGGAGAGTCGCCGGGGAGGATCGGCCGCGCTCTAATACCCGCATTTGGAACAGGAGATGGAAAGCCATGGGAGGAGTGCCATCTAGCTCCATCGGGGCATCGGATGGGACGGTGGAAGAAAATGAAGAGGGAGGGTCAGCAGCACTGCTTCCATGGATGGATCTTAGGTAGAGCGTGAGTGGGGGTATTTCTGGGCAGCATGGTTGCTCATCCCACCTCGTTCCAGGATGATTCCAGCAGCAAGCCGGTCAAGTTTAAATCGGTCTCACAGTTTTACACGTCTCAGGCAGAGCCGGCCGTTGACGAGCTCGATGATCCAAGCACCGAGGACCAAGAGCTCGATGATCCAAGCACGGACAACCACGAGTCAGACTATGTTTCGCAAGATTCGGACGATGTTTCGCAAGAGTGGAGCGATTCCGAGGACACGGCTAGGCGGCCTGTGAAGAAGAGAAGGATGAGCACCATCCAGAGCTCCTTTCATGCTCCTGCTAAAGGGAAGGAAGAGCAACCGGCGTTTAGGACGCTGGCTCAGCTCTTGGAGCCTCGGCGTAACGAAAGGATAAAGTCTTTCCCTCCCAAGAGAAGGAAGTCGAGCATTTCCAGGGATATCGCTGCCACGAAACTCAAGAGGTTTTACTGCAAGCCCAGGACGAACCGAGCCAAGGGAAGAACTCTTCTCGAGGGGAACATCGGGCTCATTGTTGATCTAGTGTTCCAGTCGGTTGACGATGGCAACAGCTCAAACCATCCTCGTAAGAACGAGCCTCTACCGTCTTTACCAACGGAAGAGAGCATAGGCAACTGTGGCGTACCCGTGAAGCTGGCAGATGCCGAGGACTCGGTGACGCAAGAGGTATCGACGTCGTTTGCTAGCATGGAGGACGAGCAGAAGCTTGTGACAGTCAGAGATCCGGAGTTCTTGACAATTGCGCGGCTGTTTGCTAGAGGTAGTGCAAAGTCTTCTGATCCATCGTTCCACGCACAGCTAAAATGGAGGGAGTAAGTTGTGAAGTTTAGAAGTTTTTGTGATCCAGACCTTTTGTCCTTGCAGGATTGATGTTGGAGGAACTGATCCTTTGGTCTTGGTGAACCATAAATGCAAGGTTAGGATTCAATTTTCCTGACTTCGAGTCTAAAGCTACCGAGCTTACAGGTGTACAACCCCTTAGAAAGGAAATGGCTTGCCGCGTCTATTGTCCAGTATGATCAACTCAGCAAGAAACATCAGGTTCTTCACCTCTCGGGCCTCGGGCTGATAACACTGACAAAAATGCGTCTGGCCTCAGGTTCATTATGATATACAAGGTGAAGTGTGGCAGTTTCTCTCTAGGGAGCGCATTGCGTTTTATATCTCCCTCGACGAGAAGATGAGGTTAATCACTAGCTACGACGAGCGAAGTTCTTTAGAAGAAAGAAAGGCAAAAGCAGAGGAGTTGTTGGTCTTTGCTGCAAGCACGGAAAGTTACGACAGGTTATTTCAGCACGGGGATATTGTATGGGCCGAAACTCCAGGTTTGCTTTCTAACAACAGAATCTTCTTTTGTTTTTCCTTGATCTTAAGGAGTATATTGCAGGCTATCCAATGTGGCCAGCATTTGTCATGGACGACCAGCACGCACGGCTGTGCAACTTAGAAATTTCCACTGGTGAATTGCCAGTTCATTATTTTGGAACATATGAAAGTGCCAGGTTAGCTTTGACGACGCAGGCTCCCTTCTTCTGGTCTCAGGAGTACTTTTTTCAGGATTATAATCGGCAGGATAGTCAAGTTTTCGAAAGGGATCCTTGATGAGTATCACTTGAAATGCAGCCGCATATGCTTTGACAGGGGTCTGGAGGAAGTCGACAGGTAGCGGTTCCATCTTTTCATACCTGTGAACTCACCTCAGCATATCCAGGTATTACAGGGAACAGAAGCTACCTCCTGGGATGACTTACTTGCAAGAAGAAGTGGTCACCACGTTGACGCAGGCAATTCATTCAGATTCAGAAGAAAAATCTGAAAAGGATGAAGATTTCGTTGGTGACGAGAGAAAGCACAAAGTAAGGAAGAGCCTTGAGAGCATTTCCAAATGCCCAATCAAGCTGGGCTCGCTTCAAGTTTTAAACTTAGGTACGCGTCTATATACAAAGTTGATCAACGTTGATCCTGTTCTTACTTGCTTGCAGGGAAAATTGTAAAGGATTCGGAATACTTTCACGACCAGCACTATATCTGGACCGAAGGCTACACTTCTATCAGAAAATTCTTCTCAACAAAAGGTTGGCATCGTGTTTCTCTGTAAAAAAACTTCACATGTGATGTGCTGTGCTAGATCCAACTAAGACGGTGATCTATAAGATGGAGATCTTGAGAAATCCAAATGCGCGCACCATGCCTCTCTTTCGTGTTACTCCGGATGACGGGGAACAGGTATCCGGCTCTTTTTATGGCGTTGGACAAATAATTTGCTCATGTCACTTTCTACTGCGCGTAGCATAGGTGGAAGGTCCAAGTGCTGCAGCATGCTGGAAGAAAATATTAATTCAGCTGCACAGGGCCAGAAAGAAGCTTAATTTGAATGGCCAGCATGATAAGAAACGGCAATTCTATCGATCGGGAGCCGCAATGTTTGGCCTCTCAAATCCTCAAATCTCTCGCCTCATTCAGGTAGAAGCTTTTTCGTCTATAACAATATTTGTCACTAACTTTGTATGCAGGCTTTACCTTATGCACGGGTATGTTCAAAGTTTAAAGTTTGGAGGGAAGCTACTACATTTGAGGATTTAGATGCCATTCTCCCGGCCGGGTTCAAGCATGTCGAAGTCGAGTGGAAGCATCTGGATCATTGCAGCGTCTGTGATACTAACGAGGTACAGCAGCTAAGGTTTCTGGTGACGTTTCTCACGCGCACTTTGCAGGAGTATGAAGGGAACATTCTTTTGCAATGCGACAAATGCAGAATGCTGGTAGCTGTTTGAGTTTTCTTGAGCTTTGATCTGTTTTTTTGTATGATGTGCCCTGACAGGTTCATCTAAATTGCTACGGAGTGCTAGAGCCACCGGGAGATTCTTGGCTTTGCAACCTCTGTGACTCGAACGCTCCCAAGCGTTCCCCTCCTTGCTGCCTGTGTCCTATCAAAGGTAAGGAACAAGTCTGCAGTCTTGACCAGCTAACCTCTTTCCACAGGAGGTGCAATGAAACGGACAACTGATGGGCGCTGGGTTCATCTTGCGTGTGCATTGTGGATACCTGGTAAGGAATGTTTTGTCTATGGTTCAACGTGGCCTCATGACGATTTCGCCAGAAACCTCTTGTGTTGATATGGATCGAATGGAACCGATTGAAGGGATAAGTTCAGTCAATAAGGTTAGCTCATGGTCCTTTGAATCTGTTTTTAATCTCCACTGTTCAGGAACGTTGGAAGCTTACTTGCACAATTTGCAGTGTTCCATATGGTGCCTGTATCCAATGCGCTGACCACCACTGCCGGGTTTCTTATCATGCGCTTTGCGCTCGAGCAGCAGGATTCTGCACAAAGGTATGACTCCTTTAAGCTTTAGCCTTTTGTTTAAAATCTTCGTATCTAGGTTTTGGAGGGTCTTCGCCGGAAAAGGAATAGAACAACTGGTGTCCAGGAAGTGGAGCGATCCGTGCAACTTGTTTCGTATTGCAAGAAACACATGCACAGCAAGATGTCGACAAAAGCAACTTTTGATACGTTTGCCACCCACGAGGACGACTATGCATACGCTTCGCACAATCCATCTGGCTCTGCTCGTTCTGGTAAGATGGTACACCAAAGCTATGGCGTTTTAACTCTTTTTCCTTTCAGAACCATATAATGTGGCTATCCGACGAGGCCGTCGTGAACCTGACCACTACTCGGCAGCTCTGGCCAAGCGTGCATTTTTGGTGAACCGGCCGCACATTGTTACCGGGTGCCTGCGCAATCCTTACAAGAGAGTTAAACGCCCGGCCCCCGTTCCTATCGGCGTCTCCAAGGTTCAACCGTTTCTAACAATCAGGCCAAGGTCCGCTCCAGACGGCCGGCAAGTTGCTCTTACGGTGTCCGAAAGGTTCTACCAGATGAGAGCATCACTACATCGTAGATTAACATTCGGTATGGTTTGTGTCTCCAAGTTCTATGGGCTGACTAACCTTGGTAAACCTGCAGGAAAGTCTGCGATACACGGATGGGGTCTATTCGCTAAAGAACCGCATGGAGCAGGAGATATGGTAAGGTGGAGTGACATGCTTGTCCAGTGATAACTCCATGCCATTGTGCAGGTTATAGAATACGCAGGAGAGATCATCCGGCCTACTGTTGCGGACGTACGTGAGAAGAGATGTTATAACTCTCTAGTGGTAAGTGTGATAGTCCACCAATCCACTCAAGAATACTCAAGAGTTGCTGACAGGGCGCTGGTACATACATGTTTTGTATCGACAATGAGAGAGTCGTGGACGCCACTCGAGCGGGCAGCATTGCTCATCTCATCAACCATTCTTGTGAAGTAAGTAATGCTTCTAAGCCTGTCGATGCTTACCCGCGTTGATGCAGCCGAATTGTTATTCTAGAGTAGTGACTACGAATGGAAAGGAAAGGATTGTTATCTTCGCAAAGCAGGACATCGCTGGAGGGGACGAGGTGACATACGACTACAGGTGTGATTTGTTTGTGATCACTGAAACTCGGGCTAACATGTAGCGCTCCTGGTTGCTAGATTTACATCTATTGGAGATCAACTTCCGTGTCACTGTGGAACTGCGGGATGTAGAGGCATTGTGAATGTCATGGACGAGGAGGATGAATCCGGGAGGATACTTGTCCGCGCCTCGGAACTGACAAAGCTGCAATAAGGCTATTTGTAAGTACACATACATATATTTTGTTGGATGGGAGTTTACAACTCTTTATATGTGCAGAGGAAACATTCTTGGGTTCTACCTATAGTTACACAGCTGTATCACAGGCAAAAAGCACAACAGTTTTGACATTGGTTTACTGTAAATAAAAAGGTGTACTTGTAATGACTTGCAGGAGAAAGCTTTATGCTGATTCCCGGCACACTTTGCAGTAATACTTGTGTGGTGAACTGCAGAAGGTGTCGCAGAACTGCACGAAGATGGCCCTCTTCTGCGCGCCGTTTTCCAGGTTCGTGAAGCTCGCTTCTATTTCGGACTCACTCGGAATCCCTGGCTTTCTGCAGCTCTTGCACGCCATGGCGTTGTAGGTGATGCTCCCGGGGTGGCAGTAGAGGCTACACTCCCGCGAAGTGTAGGAGTAAGTCCTGGACGAGAAACGTGCTCGAGCTACCGAGGCCGTCGTCTCGGCCTCGTCGGCGGCTGTGCCACCGATAAGGAGATTGCAGAGGATGCAGAGGAGCGAGTTGGAGAGTTTGCAGTTGGAGTCGCAGAAGAGGTTGCAGATTTTCGAGATAGAGATCGTGGGGGGTCCGTGGCAGTGTTTGCAGTACTCGGTGACAGTGGCATCTTCGGAGAAGACCTTGTTGGAGCTGGAAGGGCCGTCGCAGAGCACTACACAGAAGCTAGCTGCTGGTGCTGGAACTCCTGCTCCTGCAAAGACTGCTGCAGCAAAATCAAACCAAGGGGTAAGTGTTTCATCCATCTTGAGACATTGACACGATCGATTTCTTGGCTGATTTAGAGTAAACCTGAAGCTGCATTGAGAAGAAGCAAAAGCAGCACTCCCATATTCGCGCTAGAGGACGTCGAAGGGAAGAAACAAGCTCGGCTTATAACGAACTTAGATTTGGTTATATTCGCGTGGATGCGGACAGGTGATTTGGTGGAAGCGCCACTAGCTAAACATTCTCGACTGTTGGAAGCGCACGCTTTCTTAAAAGGCCCCCTCGTTTCCATACGATCACCATCACCAGATTATATGAAATCACACATTCTCTCAGAAAAGAAGTGCACAAAGTTGTTGTGGGTTTGGAGGAAGAGCTGTCGTGTTTGTGCTTTGAGCCACTTTCTAGCGATTAATCTCAAGCGCTTGTATGGTGTTCTTGCTGTCAAAGTACTTGGAGAACTGCTTGCCAAGGTACGTTCCAAACAGGCTCTCTTTGTAGCGCGGCGGCTCACTGTTGCGAAGGAGGAGCTCTGGGATGGGCGCCACAACCACGTCCTCGGAGGGCTCGAAAAAGGTGGCGATCGAAAGCCTTTGCGAGCTCGAGTTCACGGCAACGCGATGCTCGGCGCTCTGGAACTTCCCATTGCTAAAGATCTGCAAACACGCAAGCAAGCTCAAAGTTGACGAACCAAAGTACATACATATACCTGGAGTTGGTCACTGATGTTCACCACGAATGAGCCCCTGACCGGCTTCACCGAGTACCACTCCCCGTTTCTCTTCACCTGGAGCCCTCCGGCTTGGTCTTGCATCAAGATCGTGAAGCCACCAAAGTCAGAGTGTGGGCTCATCCCGACGGCAAGATCAGGCCTCGGGCAAGGTGGATAGTAATTCAGTCGTATGGAATTCATCCCCTCTCTAAATGCCTTGATGAGGAAGTCGGGCTCTAGTCCCAAACCCTGGGAGAGTGCTCGTGAGATTGTCTTACCCAGTGCCAGAACTTCGTCAAAATACTCCCTTGCAGCCTTTTCATAAGAGGGTGGCTGCTTTGGCCAAGGATGTTCGTCACCGTAAGGTGGGAAGTAGTGCGTGAGATTGTCGTGCCAGTCCCAGTGGGCCTCAGTGGAGGGCACAAAACTGGTGCAAAAGCGAAGCTTGAGCTTGTAGTCCTCGGAGAAATACGCCATCTTCTCCTCCAGAGGTAAGTTGAAGAACTCGAGGCCGGCGCTCATCATGGCGTCCATCAGAGCCAGAGGAACGCTGTGATTTATCACCTTGAAAGAACATCGATTCAAGTTTATGTTATGCTCTAGCTTTCTAAGTCGCTGCTACCTGGAAGAAGCCCCACTCCTGTGCCGCATTTGCTATGTCTTGGATGATCTTGCTTCTGCTTTGGCCATGGATCTGGGAGAAGTCAATGAGGGGAATGCCTGCCAGGGGAGTGTTGCATCTCACGCGGGCAATCTCGGGCTTGATGTACTTATCTGGTAGACTTTGATCGTGAATTTGTCCATTGGAGTTCTCCAGAAGCTCCTTCACTCCTTGTGTGGGTCTTGCTGCTTCTGCTGCCTCGGCCATTTCCCTAGTTTGCCCTCTCGCGTTTGCTTTGATATTCAATCACGCAATATCTTCCAGCTCACCAAGATCAGTGGCATGCAAAACGTTGTGCCACAACAAAATATCTGACAGACAAGATCTCTTCATTAGTATAACTATTTCTCAAAAGATGCTTGCTTGCTTGTGCATTACTCTAATCGAAAGAAAGAAAAAGAAGTAGAAATGCTACAACCACTCAGTCAAAACTCGGATGCGTTCCCTTGTCTTTTGCCAATGTATCTCTCCAGCTGCGGGAAGTGTCAGTAAAAACTTGTAGCGATCTCTCGGACAAGTTTAAAGAACGCTGGAAGGAGCGAGACATTTTTGTACTGGCCAATTTTGTTTTGTTGTTGTTTGCGCCAGAAAACTCCGCACAGCGGGCGGGAGAGAAAATTCGCCCGGCCCCATGCCATCCACAGTCACCAGCAACGACAAATTTTTGTGAGAGATCGGCTGAAACTGAAACCAAAACAAGCATGGAGCCAGCCTCGTATATGTGTCCTTCAAGAAGAGGAAAGCTCTTGCGTTTTCTCCGCCACCTTTTCCTCGTTAGATTTCACACCTCCAATGGAGACGCGTCTCTCAACCAGGAAAAGCTGGCCCTCAAATGATTTTTAGAAGACAACAACAACAAGATCACTCTCTATCTCTTCCCTTTTTCCTTTCGTCTTTCTTTTCTTGGTTCTCCCTTCTCTCTATAGGTGATGATAATGTTAGAGGGTGGTCCCCTTTGGTGACTTGTCGTGTACAATGCCAGTTCTTTCGCACTGGATCTTGCAAGGATCTTAGCTCAGAGGACGAGTTTCGTGGTGAGGGACCATGTGAATTTGAGTACGATATCTGCTTTTGTGCGGCTGTGTTCCTTTTCTCTTTCCTTTATTTTGTTATTTTGCCAAGGAATATAAATCTCTTGAACATGGATGTTGACAAGGGTGTATATAGGCGTTTGTGTGTGGGGGTTTACATCTCAACCGCATAGAAAATGGCTTTCTGTTTGACAAGCTGCGTGATTCCAGCGCTCATCGTATATGTGTCTCTGGAAGGTAGCATGATTTTTCTCATACTAACCGGACAGACATGAATATGTGTTGACTCGCCAACCAAATGTCTAAATGTCGCCTTGTTTCCATACAGGGAGTCCTCCGCGAAAGACTTGTACACACACTTATTAAAGATTCACAACAAGCTTTAAGAAAGCGGAAGTTGAGGCAGGTTTTACTCTACATAGTTGTTCAATATAGTAGTACTCTGATCATCAAATGATGCCCTTAGAACTTGCCTGGATGACATTCTCTTCTCACCCTTGTTTAGCCTTGAGAATCTCTACACCAGTTTTTTAAGAAGTTCCATGCATGAAAACCATGGTCCACTCCATTCTTTCACTCTCACTCCCTCTCTCTTCCTTCTGGTGTGTAGTGTGTCTTCCTTTGCAGAGACATAAAGCTTTTGTCATGCAGTCTTAAGAGCACAAAAAGATGGCGAGGCTAACCGACAAGCATCTCTGAAATAGAGAAAGGTGGTGGCTAGAAAAAAGAAAAGTATAACGTGTTTAGAAGGTAGAAAGCAGTGAGGCAATGGGTGAAATCAATAATTGAAATCCAAGGAAAACATAAGGGAAGAAAGCAGAGGCTGTGCAAGGGGGGTCCTTTGTTTTGCACCTCTGCTCCATGTGTGGACTCTACACTTGAGTGTCAGGACAAGGGGGCAATGCTGGTGAAATTTCTCAATCCTTGTGCCAGTGGTGTGCACCTTGTAAATATGTTGGAGCTGCTGCCAGCCAGCCAGCCAGACATCCATCCATCCATCCATCCATCCATTCCATCTCTTGGAGGCAGCCAGCCAGCCCCAGCCCATGAAGCCTGATCAGCAGCAGCAAAAAAAAGCCAAGGGCAGCAGCACTGAAGCAAGAGAAAAGCAAAGCAAAGCAGAGCAAAGGAAAGCACACCCCCTCCCTCAATGTTGATTACATATGAGTAGTGAGCAGTAGAGTGTACTGAGTGACACTGCAGTGGTTGTGCTTCTTTTTTATTTGTTCTTTTTGTGCAGTGCACTCTCCCTCTCTTATCTGTTTTTACAAACAAAAAACAATTTTGACGAATATTTTTTGTTTCTTTGGAACAAGAGAGTATTTAAAGAGCACTTTGGCCTTTTCCCTTCTGAGCTCTGGGACCCTGATTAAGAGGTGAATGCCAAATGGCAAAGAAACAGGGGAGAATTTGATTGAGACATTGGGCAAACTTATTTCTATATAATTTTATTTTTTCTTCCTTTAAATTAAAAACTCGCCTGCTACTGCTGCTGCAATTCAGCCAAAAGCTGCATGTGGATGGATGAATCTCTCTCTGCTTTCTGAATTGGGGGCTATCTCAACTCTATCCAAACTGTCTGCTTGCGAACAAACCAGGCCTCCAAACCTACATAGCTCTAGCCCCCAGGATCAATTAGACCCATGATATCAGTTATTTCATTCAAGGATCATTAAATAGTGGAAACTCCATGTGATATAAGAACCTTCACATTCTCTGCTCTCTTGGTCCTTGTTGCTAAAACATTTTAAGGTGAAGATGGTGGTGGAGATCTCTCTCTCTCTCTCTCTCTCTAGGGGAAGTAGTGATTGAGTGGTGTTGTCTTGAGCATTATAATGGCTCTAGCGATGGCGGATGAATACACGTGAGGGGATTCTCGAGAGAGCGCACGGCACGGCACGGAGGTCCGTACCAGCAAAAGGCCACGGGCGCCACGTGGGCCCCGCGTCATGGAGGCAGATGATAATATATTACAGAAAAGAAAATTATTATAAAAATGCAAAAGAAGAAAAATCATGCCGAGTGATTGCATCATCGGTGAACAAGGAAACGGCGGTGGAGTGGTCCAAATCTCGGAACCCCGTTGCGGGCTTTGGATTCGGACGGGGATTTGAGGTTTTGTGGCCAAGTCCATCCCACCGGGAGATCTGATTTTGTGCGTTTGTCAACTAGTTCCTCAAAGGCGAGCTGGACTTGGAAACAAAGAAAGCAACATGTGTATTGTATCAAAACCTGGATAATCAAGCATCCTGCGAGGAAGTATAGTTCCAAAGCAAGGCTCAAAGATGGTTAGCCCTGATCGTTGTGTCTCTTATACTTTCTCCAAGGGCCTAAAGTTTCTTATCCCCCTGTGGTTGTAACGGTTCTCTCGAGAGAATCTATTTAAGGTTGGTGGGATGGGATCTAATCTAAGCTTTGATTCTTGCCAACTTGTTGTCTCCCACTGGATCCCAAAATCAATAGAACTATGGCCTGCTCAGCTAGCATACTTTTTTGTATTTGTGTTGTCCTCCAGAGATCCAAGTCTTGAAAAACCACCATCTTCTTCTCTTGTCATTTTCAAGCTCTAGGCTTCAATCAATCACTCCAAACCTTCGATAGATGTGAGCAGTGACAACGAAGACAATGTACAACTGTATAGCTAGCCTTTGATTATTGCAAGCTTTTATACTATGGAGGAAAAGAGAGAAAAGGGCCAAAAAGCAAAGAAACGAAGCTGTAAGATGGAAAACAACAATAGTTGAAAAATGTAGGTGACATGTTCATTCTCCAGCTTGTTTTGTTGGGGTTGGGGAACAAGTTGCAACCCCTCCATATGCTTTTCCTAGTTGCAAGTTATGCATTTTTATATGTTTGTACTCAGGCCCACCAGTTGGATTGTGGAGCCTTTTGCCCTGGGGCTTTCCTGGCTCCAGCTATTTTCTTACAGCCATTGCAATACTTGCCAATTGGTGGTGGAATGGTGGTGGTGATGGTGGCGGAAAGAAAATGGAGATGATCGTTACAACTTGGACGTGACTGAAAAGCTGGTGGGCATGCAAATGGGGCCTAGGGCATTTGGCATGCTTTGTTGTGTGTTGTTGTGTGAGGCACACTTTTCCGCTTAGATCCGATAATTTGTAAGATTGGATGTTAAAACTACACCGCGGACACAAGCCCTTGTGTCACCGGAAAACAGGAGAATGGATTTCTATGTCCCGTTGCATTCAACACGTTTCCTTGTTTCCGGCAGTGTTTGTGTGCCGGGCAAACTGAAAACTACAAACAAACCTCCATGCGCTGTTGAAGTTTCTCTGTTGCAATGTGGCGGGCACCTCTTTATCGTACGTGGATTTGGCTTTGGCTTTGGCTTTGGGGCGAAGCAAAGAAAGAAATGGAACACCACCCAAGCCTCTTTGCTTATGCTTTGTACGTGTCCCCATGTAGGAGACACTGCCACCTCCTTGTCACCTTGTTTGTACCAGTGGGACAATGCTTAAAAAGAGTAGCTGAAAAACTGGACTGGAATGGCGGGGAATTGGTGTCCCAGCCCAGTGTTCCCGCTTAGCTGCACCTAATCATTGTCTCCATGATTGTGGGAGCCCGGCAAGCAAGCAAGCAAAGCCCAAAGCAGCTAGGAGAAAAGAAGGCCTCTCGTATAGAAAAATGCGTTGATCTTCTGTGATCTATATATTGCGTGAGGAAAGAGAACCAAATCACCCTGTGGGGTAGAAAGAAAGACTGGATATTTGGACGCATGGAAGAAGGGGAAAAAAGGGAGAGAAGTACAAAGAGGATTGAATCAGGAACGGGCAGCCTTTGTAATACAGCGAAGAAATGCCTGACTCATTCCTGGCACTCGTGTCTGCAAATGCCAAAAAAACACCAACAAAAAACGCGGAGTATATTTACCCTAACCGAGAAGCGAATATGCCGGCATGCACATTCCGTTTTACAGCTTTCCGTTATTTGTCGGCCGGTAAAAGTCTTTTACCGTCAGGGATCACTGACAGGTGTCAGGGCGGCACATGGCGCTTTAAAGGTGGGGCCCCCTTGCCCTAACGCCGTCATCTGGAACGGCGTCAACTGGGGTGGGCCCGGCGTGCACATGCGCGTGACTAAAGGTCGCCCTTCAAACTGACGTGCCAAAGGGACGCCTGTGACAGCCGTCAGTCAGGGGCCCTGACGGCCGTCAGTCAGGTCCGTGTTGGGGCCCACTCTCCCATGTGTTTAGACGTCGTCGGTGCGTCCTTGCGTTACACGTGGCCCGCTCCCACTGGCCAGACGTTTTCCCTCCGATTGCAACGTGTTTGGATATTTCGAAAAAGAGAAAAAGTATATAATAACTTTTTTTAAAAAAAAACTTCCTGTTTTTTTTGTTTCTAGTATTACCTTCCATGGGAATGGAAAGACAGGTAGACCGTAGACGACGTGAATGGCTGTTTTTGGTGGTGCAATAATGGCCGGAGAAGCAAAGGAGCTCCCTCGAGAAATACCCGGAGAATCTGCGTGTCGGGGCTTCCGTACAGGCACAAAGTCAAGGCCAAGAAAAGCGAGAGGCGCAGCGCAACGCAACGCAACGCAACCACCAAACCTGCGAGCCTGCGAGCCTGCGAGAATTTCCAGCTTCCAGCCCTGGGATCGAAATCGAAATCAAAATCAAAATCACCGGGGCGACAAGGTCATGCAGCAGCATTCTCGCAATTGCAAATTCCGCAAAATAATGGTGTCACCCTTCCACACAAACAGTGACACCAACCAGAACAAGGATAAGAGGAACAGCCCTGTGAGTGAATATGTGTGTTGTACGGAAGCCACCAGAGACAATCTAATCCATGCTGTCGGCCTTGGAATGACTGTGGCCCCCAGTAATCGGGATTAAAAGCCCGCGCCAAAGTACCTCTGGTCTCCCCGTACCGTACCAAAACGTTGAAATTAACAGGGTTTCCTTCCATTCTTCCTTCCAAGTTCCAATTCCATTCCTGGGTTTGGGAAAGGATTAACCATCTGGTTAACTTTAATCTGTTTGGCGTGGCAGGAATGGTACTTTGATGTGTGTGATGTTATATTAATGGAGATTGAATGGCAAATGTTGGGTTTTCACGAAACACGGCAGGTGGCCATTCAATTCAGGCATTTGTGTGAGCCACCTGACTGACGGTGCCGGGCGGGCGGCAGTTCACATGGCGCGCGCATCCTGGCCGTCCGTCCCGGAGCCGCGGGCGATCCCGGCCGTCGGTGCCCTGGCACCCGAAGTTTCCAGCGGCAGCCGTGCGGCCTCTTTTCACCCCCCCAATTCCGACTTCGTGTGTGTTCTTACACTGGTAAATCAGCAGTAACTGTGCCTTGCCGGTGGGGCTGCCAGGCTTTTGTTTTTCTTCGTTTTTATGATTTTTCTTATTTTCAGATAAATTAAAGATTCTTTGGAATTTTTAATGGTTAAAAAAAAGGGTGAAATGTACTTTTTTTTAATGAGGAGGGACTCTTTTACCCTTGCAGTCAAAATCGGACTGGACTGCCATTTACTGCGGGTGTTGAAATATGCGTCAGAGGGTCGCTTTATCCCTACACGTCACCCTTGCTCGTGGTAAATAGGGGATTCACCCTTTTATCGCTCTCGCTCGCCAGCGCGGTAAAGACATGTCACTTTTACCACGTCATGCATCTTGGCAGGTAAGGTAATAGACTTTGCAGCAGTGAGGTGGTGGAGGTGGTGCTGCTGCTGCTGCTAATTAGCAAAATTTTCAACATTGGTAAGTTATATCCCAAGAACACCTTTCTCGCCACCTTTGTATGCCTTTGCCTTGATTTCGCAGCTAGAAGGAGAAGGAATATGTACACATCCAGGGGCTTAGATTCGAGCGATTCAATGTTGTGTGAGTGAGCATGAATGAAAGATTCCTGAGGCTCTTATGATTTGTTTGGAATTCTAAGAAGGAAAGTTCACGGGAAGAGGCATTTTGGTGCAGGGGCGCCCAAAAGACAAAGAGAGCGCAGCAAATACCACATGAGGATTCGCCTGGCATGTTGGCAGAGAGCAGCAAGCGGAAACCAGAAGGGAGAAAAGGGGCTTGCTGCTGCGGTGAGGCTTGTGAGATTTCCACGGGAGTCATAAAAGAGGCGCCCAACTTTGATGGCGGCCCAAAAAGTTGGCCGAGGCCCTCGAGCCTGCGTACTTTTTGTGCAAGACCTCTCCTCCCACACAATTCGAGTGCCGGGACTGGAGCAGATGTTTCTTCTCTATGAATGCGATGAATGTGATCGAATGAATGAATTGCTTGCTCCCCCCCACCTTACTCACCTTTTGGTGGAGTACTATGTTAAGGAGTGATAGCACTTCTTCAAGAGGAAGTGTGCGCTGGGATTGCATGGAGGAGGAGGATCTATAGGCCACCATGAAGCGTGGAAGCAAACAAACAAAACAAGCGTCATTCAATTCCTGCTCTGATCTCTCTCTGATCAAGTTATACTTGAGGCCTGCAGCTGTTCTTTCTCACTCTACGGTTTGGTCCAAGCTCCAAGCTTTTGGTCTCTAAATGTGGGGAGGCTTCTAAGCCCAATTTGGCAGCGGGAGCCAGCCAAATCTGACACACGCCCCCTTCCCGTCTCCATTGGACACACTAGGCTAGGAGAGGCTAGGTACACAAACTTTGTGCATTTGTAACGTGTTCTTGGCCGCGAGATTAAGGCGGATTGGAGGGGCGGGTTGGCGTCCGGATTGGAATAAAATAAGTGTTGTCAACCAGCACTTGGACAGAAAAATCTCCCCAACTCCCCAAAACAAAAGAAAATAAGATAAAGCAAGGCAGGCAATTAGAGGAGAATCAGCTTCTCTCTCCCTCTCATAGCGTACCAGCCCACTCTAATCCCCAGGCTTTATTAGTTGAATCAGCCATATTTTATGGAGTTTTTGTATTCCCTGATCCCACCATGATCAGGATGAGCTGAGCCCCCTACTCCTCCCCTCCTGTTGGTTGCAGCTGCAGCAGCTGCTAGACCCCACTAAACACTATATAGGCCCCCTTTGCTCTTTCACCAGGATCCTGCTGCTGCTCCTCCCCCAGTGAGCACACCACTGTTGCTAGCTCCAGGGCTGCTTCTTCTGCTTCTTGCTCCCATTTTGTGTCCATCCTATCTATCAATCTACCTGTTGCTGTGTGCATGGATGCTGTTTTGTCCCTCTGCCTGGACTAGCACCTAGTAGAAAGTCTCTAGCCAAGTGGCTCTTCTTTTTCTTGTCCAGCGCTGAGAGAGAGAGAGAGAGAGAGAGAGAGGGTCAGGGTGAGAGTGAGAGTGAGAGAGAGATATCTCCTAGTCCTGCTTGCTTTCTTCCTCACACACACTCTCACTCACTTGTTCATTCGCCCTCCCTGAGGTCCTCTCTTTTCTCACTCACACGCTCCTAGAGTTACACGCTTGGTCGCTCCTTCCACACTGGGTTTACGTTTACACACTCGCTCACTCACTCGCTTGCTCCCACACACCCACACCCACACACACACACACACACTCACTCTTGCAGTGCACAGTCCCCAGCAGCAGCAGCAGCACAGGCAGTGCGCCTCTCTCTTCACACTAAAGTGTTGGGAAGGTCTCTCTCTTAACCAGCAGTAGTGCTCTACTGCTTCTTAGTCCGCGTCCTTTGGGAACAGCAGCAGCACCCAACAGGCGAGCAGTAGCAGAAACAGGAGCAGAAGCAGCTGCAAGCAGGCAGGAGCTGAACTGAAACTGAGCGAAGTTAGTTGCTTCTCTCTTTTTCTCTCCTCTCTGTGTGGGAACTGTGGGAAGGACTGGTGCTGCACACATTAGTAGAGGAATGAGAGGATAGCACTAGTTACTACTTCTTACCTTTGGGGGCGTGAGCTTTTCTTCTTCTTCCTCCTTTCAATCTTGCAGCTCAGTTCGGCTCAGCTCAGGGACTGACGGCCCTCATTGCCCTCGGGAATTTGAGCAGCGACAGGATTCCTTCTCCTCATTCTTCTCGTCTCCCTTTTATCCCTCCACATTCCTGCAGTTTTGTCTGCCTGATGTGTGTGAGGTGAGAAGCAGCCACCTTTTAGAGCACTCGACAGTACTTCTTACCTCCACTCTTACACGTAGATAGATATCTCTGGATGGCTGCTGCTGCGCACTGCGTCAAAGTCGACCACTGCTCCAATTCAGCTTGATTTCTCTCCCAGTCCGCTCCCCCTTGTTCTCTTCCTTTCTCCGCTGCCGCTGCGGAGCCTGAGCACTGGCAATCGAGCAGCACTGGAATGAGAACTCGCCAGAAGAAAGTTAAGATCAAAGATCGCAGCGTTTCAGCACCGGCAATATATATGTTTGTGCAGCAAGCCACTGCGGCTTGATTGCATTGCCAGATCTGCGACGAGTTTCCGAGAGCAAAGGCTCAAGAGCAGCAAGCAGGATATATACAGCCTGCACGGCAAGAGATCGAGCAGAGTCAAGGAAGGACAAAGCAGACAAATGGGTACCTGGAATTAAGGCGTATTTCACTGCACACTTCCATCCATTTCATCCATAGAGGTATATGGTTGATTAGCCTGCACAATCAAAAGAAAGTTAGAAAGACAAAAAAAAAAAAAGGAAAAAAGAAAAAAGAAAAAAGGAGAGAAGAGAGAGAGGGAGGACAAGAAGAGAAGCAGGAGAAGAAGAAAGAGAAAAGAGTTAATGGACTTGCTTCACCAAAACTCATCTTCTCCTGGCCTCGGCATTTGCAGCAGCCTTGGCGTCCTCTCCCCCGATAACAGGATGCCATCCAGCTACAACAGCAGCGGTACAAGCTCCGGTCCACTCTCTCCGAATCTTTCCTCGATGAAGCAATGCAGATCCAGCTCCGATGTCGAAGTCGACGCCCGGGACGATGGCGGCCCGCTCAAGCTGGCCCGCAAGGACTCCTTCTCATACTCGAGGCCTTCAGCAGCGGAACAGCACCAGCAGCACCAGCACTCCCAGCAGCAGCAGCAGCAGCACGTTGGCAAGCTCAACATGAACTCTGGTGGCGGAGGTGGTGCTCCTGCTGCTGCTGCTGCTGCAAATAATAATAATGGACCAGCTGGAAGCCACTCGTTTTCAGGAGATAATGGTGGCAGCCGTATCGCCTGCTCTCCCACAAACTCTTGCTTGTCCGATGGAGTACTCGTCGCAAGTGACGCTGCTGCTGCTGCCAATCTCATGGGAGGAGACACCCGGATGCTGAGGAGCGATGCAATGGCCAGCCCCGGCTCCAGTTACAATCTCGCTGCTGCCAACTCCAACATGAGGCCTTTCTCGTATCAATCGTATCAGTATCCTGGAGCTTCCGGTGAGTCCACTGCCTGAATTGCCTGCTTCCACATTCTCGGCCTCGTTTTCCTCCCCCTCTTCTTCTTCTCGGCTTTCCATGTAGAGATACTGTAGAGAACTCCCGCTGCTGCCTTTGTTTATCTCGTCCCTTCTCTTCCCCGGTTTGATATATGCAGCTATATCAGCTCGAAAGTGCCGCACATTGCCTCCACCATAATGCCAGGATTTTGTCGGCATTTAGCAAGCAATTACAAATGCTTGTCGAGCCGATTGGGACCTTCCAAAGATATACAAGCGCCCCCCATCCGACCGTGATCCCCTGATTGCTGCTGCTTATTTTTCTCCGGTCCTGTCTCTCGCCGCCGAGTTTTCCTCCATCCGGAAACTTGAGGGTTGGAATGAACAGTGGCAGTAGCAGTAGCAGCACTAGTTCGTAGCAGTAGCGAGGCTTGGCTGCGCTGATATAACTCTTCTCTCTGTCTTGTCTTTGCCAGGCTCGCCGCTCATGTTGGCTGCTGCAGCTGCCGCTAGAGGAGACCACCTAGGAATGCAGAGCGCAATGAGCATGCGCGGTCCTTTCACTGCGAACCAGTGGGCCGAGCTAGAACACCAGGCGCTGATTTTCAAGTACATGATGGCTGGTGCGAGCGTGCCCCCCGAGCTGCTCAATCCAATCAGGCGCAGCGTTGCATTGAATAATCTCGCGTCTTCGCATCCGTCGCTAAGAAGTGAGTGCCTGCTGCCTTTCTCCCTTCACTTCACTGCTCGACTGCCTCCTCGCCGTTCTCAGCACCTTGCACCACTGGCAACTCTAAAGATCTCCTTGCTTTCCTGTGCAGTGGGCTGGGGAAACTTTCACCTTGGAATTCCGAACAATCCCGACCCGGAGCCTGGTCGGTGCCGACGAACAGACGGCAAGAAGTGGAGGTGCTCCAGGGAAGTCGTCCCGGACCAAAAGTACTGCGATCGTCATATGCACCGGGGCCGTAACAGGTCCAAGAAGAACGCCGAGAACCAGGCAGCAGCAGCAGCCGCGGCGGCGGCGGCGAATTCCCAGTCGGCGGCAGCTGCTGCCGCAGGTGGAAACACCACCACCCAGTCAGCGACCAACGTCGGCGGTGTCGTCCAAAGCTCGGGCTTGAATCAGATCCACAGCAGCTTGCGGCCCCCTCTGGGCATGAACGGACAGAATCATCACCAGCATCCGTCGGTCGGAGCAGCAGCGGCAGCAGCAGCTTCCCCTTTCAACTCGGGCACCCCCACCAAGTCCAACTTCAGTTCCCTCCCTACGGGCATTCCCAGCGGGAACAACTCTGGCAGCTCCCTGCAGTTCCCAATGCAGTCTCTCTCTGGTGCATCTCCTGGAGGGAACAAAGACTACAGGTACTATCAGTTCCTGGTGAGTGCAAGTGCCACTCATGCTCATCAAGCCCCGCCGTCTCTGTTCGCCTGTGACTAAAATCCTGCTCTCTGTGTGCTTTTGCTTTCCCTGCTCCAGGTACATGAGTGGAATGAGTAAGCCAGAGCTGGGATTGGGACCTGAGCAGCTGCTATTCTCAGATTCCCCACTTTCTTCCGTGCATCACCAATGGCAGCAAAACTTCCAGAGTAAATTCCCACGACTAAGCAGCAGCAGCAGCAACAACAGCCCCAGTTCACCTCTGTACCCCCAGCACCAGCACCACCACCACCACCACCACCACCAGCAGGAACTTAGATCACTGTCAGGCCAGCAGCATTTTGAAATGCCTGAAGCAAGCCAGATTAACCACCTCTCACAACCTTTACTAGGCCCTGGGTACGGGGGAGGACCTACAGCAGCAGCAGCAGCAGCAGGACTGGAGCATGTTGGGAGGGACTGCGAAGAACAGCCACTCCGCCACTTCTTTGACGACTGGCCCCGTCAGAGGGACCCCTCCACAATCTCCTGGAATGACATAGAAGACGATCAGAAACAGCACCAACACCAAAACCAACAGCGAGCAGCAACACCACCCACGGCAGTAACAGCACCAGGAGCAGGAGGAACCACAACAATCCCAAGAACAACATCCGCAACACAGCTCTCAATCTCCTTACCAATGTCATCGTCGGACTTCCGCGTCGCCACCTCTCCACGAGGAAAGTTATCGCTCTCCCCGCTCAAGCTCTCCATGTCCAGGAGCGAGTTCGAGGAAGACCAGCTCGGTGGCGATCCAACGAGAATGGGACTCGGTGTTGGCCTCGGCGGTGGAAGCCGGCAGCAGCAGCAGCAGCAGCAGCAAACCTGGATGCAATCTTTAGAAGGTGGTCCACTAGCCGAGGTTCTCCAATCCAGCACACCTCGCGATCACTGCAAGAGCTCACCTGGACTTAACTTACTTGGCGATGGCTGGGAGAGCAGCTCCAGGGAGACGTCCCGGATGCCATCTCCAACCGCGGTGCTCACCAAGACTCCCTTTGGATCGTTCTCCGACAGCAGCAGCAATGCCAGTAGCCCCCGCGCAGTTCATGCAGAGGCGTTGCTCGGAAACGCTGGTTCCAAGCAACTCACCTCGTGAAAGAAAGAAGAATGCGCGGAAGGAATGACCGACCGAGCGATCGCCCCTCTCCTGCTTGCTAATCTCTCCTCGATCTCACTGTTGTTTCTTCTTTTGACATGTACCAGTACAAGAAAAACCAAAACATTCATTATAAGCGTTTGTGACAAGAATCTCAATCCCAGACCTGGTGCCATCGCTAAGAATCCCGTGCGCGCCTCCTAATCGGCGATCCGGGCGTGGATCATCCAGCATTCTCGACGAAGCGCTTAAACCCTAAGAAACAACCAAGAACCCTAATTTTCAAAACCAAGGGGGGGAACACTCTTTTTACACTTTATTAAAGGGTGGCACAAAGAAAATTACAGAGACTAGAAAGAAACCTCGAAAAGATGAAGAAACCCAAATGCCAGTGCTCCACAAAATTGCTGGCTGTGTTTGTCTTGGACGATTTTTCCTCCTCTTTTTGTTTTGTGCGTCTTTTTTCCTTGTGTGTTCTTCGCGACGATGCGAGGCGACCACCCCCAAACTTTTTTTCCGCCAAAAGGCTCTTCCATCGTCTTTTTTCGATGCCGAGCCTCCACCCAAAATCATTAGCATCATCCTCCACCCAAGTCCTGTGCCTTATTCTTCGTCCGGGTCGCCTGCTGGAATGATCCTTTTGGGCTCCTTCCAAAGAGTTGAGTCGTACGGGCTCTAGCTTGAGCACTTCGAGAGAGAAGAGTAGAACGGTTGCGTGTTGCTGCTGGGCGAGCGAGCGAGCGACCTTGCCGCTGCTGCTAATTGGCAACCGGAGTGTTGGACGAGGCCTTGAGCTTGGCCAGGCTGAGGAAGAAGTCCGTCAACACCGTCTCGTACGCGGGCATCTTGGCGTAGCCGGGGAAATAGTTGATGTCGATGACGTGGTAGTGGTTCCCGGCCTTGGAGTCCCGGATGAGATCGAAGTTGAAGAGCCGGAGCCCCAAGTTCTCCCTCAATCCTTTGGCCAGCTCTGCCACGAACTTGGTCGGCGGGAGCTCCGCCTGGAGGTAGTCCGACGCCCCGCACTGCTGGGTTGATCCCATGTTGGAGATCTGCGAGAAGCACAGCGCCTCCGACCGGTTGAGCTCGTCCTCGGGCACGTCCGGGAGGGACCTCCGCTTGACACACTTGACGTAGTCGCCCACCACGTACACCTTGAAGATGACGCCACCATGGTTGACGAATTCCTGGAGGACAACCGGCGGCTTGAGCTTGGTGAGACCCTCTTGGTTGAAGATGAGAGACATGGCGTGGGACTTTGCGCTGCCGTCGGCCACCAGCGGCTTGGCGATCACCGGGAACTTGAGGCCGCTCATCGCCTTGAGATCGCCCAGGCAATCCGCCCTGTCCATCACCGACTGCTTGGGGATCCCAAAGGTCTCCTGCTCGTCGCCCACCTGGAGGTCCGACACCGCCTGGAGCATCGAGATGCGGTTGTGGAGCCGCTCGATCGCGTCCGGCGAGTCGATGATGATCACATCCGGGTGCTTCTTCTCGTATTCCTCCAGCTCCTTGTGCCACTCTTTGCCCGAGAGCTTGTGGAGGATGGCGTCGAAGGGGCCCTGCTCCACCAGTGGCTTGTCGAGATCAATGCACACCATATCGATCCCGCGGCTCCGTGCATGCTCCACCAGCGACGGCTGCACGAAGCTCTTTTGTTTCTTCTGGGCCAGCGCGTACCCGACTTCGAAGCGATCTTCCCCGGACATTGTGACCTTAACCATGCGAGGCTGCCGAAATTTCCCTGTTCACAAAGAGCGGAGCTTGTGTGAGCGCTAGAGCTAGAATCTTGGAGTTCATCGAAACCTTTGTCAAGAACACGCCCTGCCGGCGTCCAAGACAGGGAAAACACACCTGGAGAGAGCCGGAGTTGTCCAAGCGCCTCGAAGAAGCAAATCGCAGAAAAGCGCCGAAATTTCTTCGCGAAATTCACCACACTCGCCGCGGCGCGAAGGCGAAATCACCAGCAGTCGACAGCGCCATGAGCATCGGCATCGGCAATCGCAATCCCTCGCGCTAGACGCACAGTAATCCCTAGTCAAGAACGCTCCTGCTCTAGGGCTTCCCCTTGGCTATGGCGAAATGGCATTGCCAGCTTAGGGTTAGGGCTTGTATCTGGCACTGGCGGTGGACAAACCGACGGCGCCGATCGCGCCACGAGTGTGCATGCCGATGACGTGGATTAGCCACAGAGGTGACGTGGCAGCTGTTAGGATATACGGGTGGGAATAATGCGTTGGTGCGCTCGTGATAAACGTTTGAAACGCTCAACGACGGCGATGATCGCAACAATACAAAGCTGACATTGAGAAAAATGCCCCACCCATATCGATGCCCGAGAATATGCTAATAATAAGACATCCAAAGAAAGTTGCTAAAAACAATACACTCACGATCGTTTGAGCAGTAGTAACCAAAACTTGTTCGTGAAATTCGGTGTAGTTCTTCCTTATTCCTTGAAATCGTCCTTGTCGTCTTTGGGAAGAGCACGATTTCTCCAAAAAACTGCCAGACCGCTTCCTCCCAACTGCGAGAAAGGAAATTTCCAAACGAGAAAACCGTTAGTTCGTGTCAGCTCCAAAGGAACTCCGGTTTTTTCTGTGACTTACAGCCATACAGACGACGCTCACGGCCGATGGCACAGCGACTAGAGGATTACTGAAGTGCTTCTGCGCGAGAAGGAAGCCGAGAGCGGAGCTCTGGAAAGGCAAAGCTGGATGAGCTATGTACAAACTTTTGGATGCAGTGGAAACTACGTACCTGCATTCCACACTCAATGGAAATTGTCCGGGCGGTCATCTCGCCAAAGTTGCAGAGCTTCGAAAGCCAGTAGCCCAGCAGAAACGCGGCGGCGTGGAGGAGTGCCACCGGAAATATGAGCTGCGTGCCTTGGGTGACAAGGACCTCGGACACTTGACCAATCTGAAAGCATTCCAGCCTTTACATCTAGGAAAAAGAAAGAATTAAGTTCTATAAGACTCACGGGACTAGCGCAGAGAAGTGTTGTTAGAATAACCCCCACGAGAGGTGTCACCGTGACAATCTTTTGCGTGAACTTTGGAAAGTACTCGTTCGAAAGAACTGTATAAATAGCAACAGAATTGATGAGAGGCTTTCGAACAACAAGCTGAAGCGCTTACCTCCAATAATTGTGGGGACAAGGACCACCTGAAATGTGCTCACTGCCAGCCCCTGTGTGAATTCTCAATGCCATCAAATCGACACTCGATGATTTCGAAAGAGACTCACCACCGCGTCCACTGGGACAAGCTGACCCGCAAGCACTTTTGTCAGCAATGGAGTCATTAAAATCGCGCCAATAGTAGAGCATCTGCAACGATAGATAAAGTCTTCAAGCCTCTTTGCCAAAAATGAGAAGGATATACATTACGTTGTCATCAACACCGACAGAGCGACGTTGCCCTTAGAAATATACGTTGCCACGTTTGAAGCTTGGCCTCCTGGACAACAAGAAACGAGAATGAGACCTGTTGCCAGTGGTGCGGATAATTTTAAGCTCTGTTATAATCGAAGAGATACTCAAAGATGTGTCCCAGTAAAACTTAAATAGCTTCATTACCAATGCGATCAGAAATCCCAGTATAGGCTTAATGGCATATTGAGCCAAGAAACCAACACCAACCTGCGTAGAAACAAAAAAACGCGAGGGATATCAAACTGCAGCACAAAGTTTTGCATCATACCGTCCAGGGATTTCTCAGGCATCGGCGAAAGTCTTCAAACGTAAGAGTTAATCCCATAGAGAGCATGAGAAATCCCAAGCCTACAGTGAACAAGTCGGTCTGTAGCCAGGTTACCTGGTTATAACACAAAAGATTGTCAAGCACGAGAAATCCAAGCCATTCGCAAGCTTACCGCAGTTGGTTTTACAATGCCAATAACAGTTCCCAGTATAACCTGTACAGAAACAAATCAGAGAAGAACAAGGTTTGATGCAAGGCGTACCCAGACTGGAAACATGGTTGTCAAGAGTTCCACAACTCTTTCAAACGTAGACAATTCCTTCTCGGGAATTTCTCCAGCACTGGCTGCTGCATGGCATTCCACGGGCCTTTCTCTTCTATATAGCACCAGTTTAAACCAAAGCAACGATCGAGAGAAATTCTAGAATGCTTAGCTTACCTGTGTGCTGTCAAAGAAGGAAAATGTGATTGATGCGTCGGCGTGTTCACGAGAGAGACAGATCCAGCCTTCATCCCTGAGAAAAACAGACAGATCCACAGTGAGAAAGAGCGAAATATCGAATGCGACGCCCCGCATTCACCAGGAATCCAGCGAAGAACTCACAGAAACAAGAAGGACGAACCTGCGACTGCTCCATCGCCGGGCTTGGCGATTCCAAATCCCAATCTCGCCTCCGCCGTCGCTGGACGCCACGATCGGCGGTGAATCCCGGCGCTCCCTGCAAATGCCGTGGATCGCAACGCCAGTACCGCCATAGCCAGCGCTCTCCCTTTCTCTCTCTCTCTCGTCGCGCGACACAGTGGGCGGAATCCCCCAAGGACTTTGCTAACGCCTGACCTTTACAAAAATTAACATAACAGAAAAGGCCAGAGCGTGGGCTAACTAGGGCTTTCCAAAATCCCCGTGGTTACAATGTAGGCCAAGCATTTCTATGCGATATGGTTGGCTGGCAACAGTGGCCCGTCTTTACACACGCACTTTAGCAAGGACACATGGGCATATACTTTGCTTTACCTGGATTTAGCTGGCCGTACTAGAATATCTCAGGCATAATCTTTAACTGTATCAGAAATAATCATATTCCGTACTATCATATCACGATTGTGTCTCCAGAATAGCAAAGCGCATCTCCACCGTCGGCCAAACACCATCGGGGCCGTTGAAATATACCCGTTGTGAAGAAGCTAGGTTTTCTATTCGGACTTGGAGAAGCTTGGCGAGAGAGCAGCGATGGTGACTCAAGACGTGGAGTTTCGCGACGAAGACTGTGGTGAGCTCTTGAAGCTATACAAGAGGGGAAAGAGGTTGGGCTGTGGTGGGCAAGGCCAGGTCTTTGCGCTCACCCATCGCGGGTTTGGTCACAAGAGGTATGCGGGGAAAATGTTTCGATCGAGTAGCGAGGCCAGGAGAGAAGCTAGCATCATGGACATGCTTCACGCTTGCCCCGGAGTCGCCCACCTCGAGGGCTTTGTCAAGGAGAGAGATGGCGCGCAGTGCTACGGGAGCATCGTGATGGAGCTTTGCGGCCCTAGCCTTTTCGATCGACTGCTCAAGGCCGGGCCGATGTGCGAGGAGGATGCGGCGAGGACGATCAAGAAGCTGGCGGAGACGATCAAGGAGATCCACTCCAGGGGAATCGTTCACCGGGATCTCAAGCCGGAGAATGTGTTTCTCAAGCTGGACGCCGCCGCGGCTGACGATGTTGTGATTGGAGACTTTGGCATGGCCACGGACGATCCGAGGGAGATGGCGCAGTGCTGCGGGACTGGAAAGTACCTGGCGCCCGAGGTGATCGCGATCAAGTTTGGGAAATCGAGCTACACCGAGGCGGTGGACGTGTGGGGTTTGGGACTCATCGCCTACGAGCTGCTGAGAGGCTGCACGGAGTGGAGAGTGATGGATTTGCTGCGAGCTGGGCGATTCCCGGATGGTTTGTTCTCGGATGGAGCGGCGGATCTCCTCCGGGGGATGCTGGCGGTGGAGCCGAGAAAGAGGACGACGCTGGATCGCGTGCTCGCGCATCCCTGGATCGTGAGACATTGCAGCAGGAGTAAGACCAAGGCGAAGATCGCCCACACTAAGATCATGGCGATCATCCAGCGCACTGCTAGTCGCTGTGGAGATCATCTCGGGACGACCTTGCAACGCCTAGGAAAGAGGCCGGGAATCATCCGGTAAGCATCCCTTGCTATTCGATTTCCTTGCGGGAGGGTTACTAACTTTTATCTTTTGTTTTACTGTCTTTGTTCGCGCGGGCACTGGAATTTTGGCTGCTGCTGAGGATAAAAACGTTATGTAAATACGTGCTTGACGTGAGCACGTAAAGGAACGCGCTGGTAAGTTTTGGACTCTCACCAAACTTCAAGGAAAAAATCAAGTAAGTTTTGTACATGGGGAAAACACTGGTCCCTTTTAAAGCTATTAAAATGTTATTAACTAAAGCTATCGCTTTAGCCCCTTAATTAAGTAAAGCTTATTTTGTTTTCAAGGGGAATATTAGGGCAACGAGTACTTAGAGTGAACGAGAGAGGAGAGCACAGGGTTTCGTGGTAGCGCCTCCTAGGTCGTGGGGAGAGGGAGAGGAAGGGAGGGCTAGCCGCGAGCGTGCAATGGCGAGAGCTCCGCCTCCCAGGTGGTTAGGGCATGAGTGAACGAAGCAATGCGTCGCGTTCGCCGGAAATGCGTCCACACTCTCGCGACTAAGAGCTCCGCGGGAGCGGAGAATGGCGATGGAATCGCCGAGGAGGAGGAGTCGAGAATCCCCAAGCACGACGGCCAGGTACTAGTCCGGTGTGAGAGGGAGAGCGGCGTGGATTGGACGCGCCTGGCCGACGATACGCTGCTGGGATTGTTTTCGCTGCTCAATTACCGCGACCGGGCCAGCGTTGGATCCGTGTGCCGGGCATGGCACGCGCTCTCCTCCTCGCCGTCACTGTGGACCAGCCTGGATTTGCGAGCTCACACTCTCGATTCCAACATGGCGTCGTCGCTTGCTTCCAGATGCGCGAAGCTCTCCAAGCTAAAGTTCCGTGGGGCCTCAGGTGCTAGCTTGATCATCGACTTGCAAGCGAGGCAGCTCAAGGGGCTCATAGGTGACGGGTGCAAGGATCTCACCGACGCGACGCTGTCGATGCTCGTCGCCCGCCATGAGAATCTGGAAAGCCTCCAGCTTGGGCCGGAGCTGGAGAAGATCACGAACGAGGCGATCAAGGTGGTAGCCGTGTGCTGCCGGAGACTCAAGTGCCTGCGGCTGGCGGGGATCCGGGACGTGGACAGTGAAGCTATCGGGGACTTGGTGAAGCACTGCCCGAGCTTGACGGAGCTGGCTTTGCTCGACTGCGCGGTGGTGGACGAGGCTGCGCTCGGCGAGGCAAAGTCTCTGAGGTACTTGTCGGTGGCCGGGTCCAGGAACATAATGTGGACACAGGCCATGCAAGCATGGAGTAAGCTGGAGAACTTGGTAGCACTTGATGTGTCCAGGACTGAGGTAACACCCGCGGCTGTCATGTCTTTTCTTTCTGCTCCTCGTTTAAGGGTTCTTTGTGCGCTCAGCTGCTCGGCCCTGGAAGATGGAAGCAACTCTGTGAGCTACGTTAGTAAGGACAGGGTTTTGCTGGCTCGGTTCACAGAGTTGATGAACGGGCTGGCATGCATTTCGAGCTTAGAGCAGCAGGACGAGAGCAGGGTGCTTGTTTGCTGGACGGAATGGGTGCTCTCCCACGCACTGCTGAGGATAGCAGAGAATAACACTCAGGGGCTCGACGCTTTCTGGCTGAAGCAGGGGACTTCGGTAATGCTAAGGCTGATCAAGAGCATGCAAGAAGACGTGCAGGAGAGAGCGGCCACAGCTTTAGCGACTTTCGTAGTGGTTGACGATGAGAATGCTACTGTTGATTCTTCGAGGGCGGAGGCTGTTATGCACGGTGGAGGAATTCGCTCTCTTCTGGACCTTGCCAGGTCTTCTCGGGAAGGGGTGCAGTCCGAAGCAGCGAAGGTGAGTTTCTCTTGAGTTGGATTCTTTTGAGCTTCCGTTTACTCTTCTCGCTTATAGGCAATTGCAAACTTGTCCGTAAATGCCGAAGTTGCCAAGGCCGTGGCAACCGAGGGTGGAATCAACATCCTTGCAGGCTTGGCCAGATCTCCCAATCGTTGGGTTGCAGAAGAGGCAGCTGGAGGACTCTGGAACCTTTCAGTTGGCGAAGAGCACAAGGTTTGTTTTTTTCTGATACTTCCAGTATGACTATGGTCGAGCTTTTCAGGGTGCTATCGCTGACGCTGGTGCGATTGAGGCTCTCGTCGACTTGGCCTTGAAGTGGCCCGCCGGTGGCGAAGGAGTTTTGGTACGGAGACGTGCTTCTCGTTCCGATCTTATCTTGAGCTCGACATCTTAATGTTCAGGAGCGAGCAGCCGGCGCTCTTGCCAATCTAGCTGCCGACGATAAATGCAGCATGAAGGTTGCAAATGCTGGGGGTGTGAACGCTCTCGTCAATTTGGCTCGCTTTTGCAAGCATGAAGGTGTCCAAGAGCAGGTAGAATTTTCTTACATTTGTATGCTGATCATAACTCCCTAATTCTTTGCAGGCTGCCCGAGCGCTTGCAAATCTAGCAGCTCACGGTGATAGCAATGGGAATAATGCTGCAGTAGGGCGGGAGGCGGGTGCGTTAGAGGCGCTGGTAAAGTTAACATGTTCCAACCACGAAGGGGTCCGGTGAGGTCGTTTCGTTTCAAGTCTATCATGGATTTAGTTTGTGTTTCTTCTAGGCAAGAAGCTGCTGGCGCCCTGTGGAACTTGTCATTTGACGACAGAAATCGGGAGGCAATTGCTGCAGCTGGTGGTGTTGAGGCATTGGTAAGTTTCACCTTACTTCGTTCTCTTGTCTATGGTCCTCACTGTGAACTGCTTGTGAAGGTTGCTTTGGCACAAGGATGCAGCAATGGATCTCAAGGATTGCAAGAAAGAGCAGCGGGTGCTCTCTGGGGGTTGTCTGTATCGGAGGAAAACAGGTATTGTGTGTCACCCTTGGTAAACTAGGACTGATTCTTGTGACGTATGTACAGCATTGCTATTGGCCGTGAAGGAGGCGTTGCTCCTCTTGTTGCATTAGCGAGATCGGATGCCGAGGTATGCACAACGCCTCTTCTTGTGTGTGACATGACATTGTGGGTGTTTTTAGGACGTTCATGAAACTGCTGCTGGAGCTTTGTGGAATCTTGCTTTCAATCCAGGAAACGCGTTGAGGATAGTGGAAGAAGACGGTGTTTCTGCACTGGTGCGGCTGTGCTCGTCCTCGCGCTCTAAGATGGCACGATTCATGGCCGCTCTGGCTCTGGCATACATGTTCGATGGCAGGTACAAAACTTTTCTTAGTGTTCTCGATCAGCTTTCGTGTATTCCTGGACCATTTGTCTGAGTGCTCGTTTGCCTGCTTGTCAGGATGGATGAGGTTACTACAAACGAAGTTGTTTACTGTGATAGCATTACCAAAAACGGCGTGGCAAGGCAGTCGGCCATGAAGAACATTGAGGCGTTTGTACAAGCGTTCTCGGATCAACCGTCTCTTGCGGCAGTCCCGGCTTCGCAATGGGGGCCTTCGGCGCTGCAACAAGTCTCCGACTCCGCCCGCATACAAGAAGCTGGGCATCTGCGCTGCAGGTTGAGCTTTAGTTTTCTTTCCTCTCTCTTCTCTCTTGCTAAAGTTGAGGTGTGATTGACAGTGGCGCCGAGATAGGAAGGTTCGTGGCCATGCTTCGAAACGGTTCCTCGGTTCTAAGGTCCTGTGCCGCGTTTGCTCTCCTCCAGGTACGTGAAAGATTTAATAGAAGAGATAAAGGTTTCGAAAGAAACGTGGTGTTTCGTTGCAGTTTACAATGCCTGGTGGAAGGCATGCTTTGCACCACGCCAATCTCCTCCAAAGGTCCGGCGCGGCGCGAGTTCTCCGTGGAGCTGCTGCGTCCACAACAGCTCCACTCCAGGCGAGGGTGTTTGCGCGACTAGTGTTGAGGAATCTGGAGCTGTGCCAGAGCGAGAAAAGCTGAAGAGATTGGGAGACAAGATTTGTAGGCTGATTATTTTGTGAGTGCGATCAATCAGAGCTTGTACAGCATAAAACAGGCTTAGAGTAGAGATCATGTAACATAAGATAGCTCAAAAGGTTTTAAAGGAATGGTATAAATAATATGCTTCCGTACGTAGAGAAATCTATATATCTAGGAGGCTCGCGGCCGTCCGATCTAGCCGTAGAACTTTTATGAGAGGAACAAGCCAAGCATTTAAGACAAAATATTTGCCTAAACATGCCCATTAGTAATGAAACGAGGGAGTTTTTATCCTCTTGCTTTATTTCTGATTATCGCAGTTTCTTCACTCCTTGCTGCTAATGTTGTTGCTAATTTCACCACTAATTCCACTATATTCAATCAAGTTTCTTGCAGCAACTCTGCGAACTACGACATGACTTGAGGTTACAAACTATTGCGGCGGTGATTTGAGCATTGAGTGCCAGTTCGGGAGTGAAACAACCGTCAAGTTTATTTTAACGGATCAAGAGGCTCGCAGCATGTACGCGTTTCATGGTAACGAGTGCCTTCCAGTGTGCAAGCTTAAGTGGCAAGACAGGAAGAAGCATGAATGGAGGCCATATATTTCTGCCCGGCCAAACCAAATTGTTTCATGGAGAATTTTCGGCTATGGATTCTATTATAGCAATTTTGAAAAAGCCACAGATAATTGGGACTAATCAATTATTTATAGAAACTAAAATCTATCTTTTGCAAAGATTAAATATAAGAGATTAATAAGAAAATATAATTTTAGAATAGAAACTACTATAATGGGGAAAAAATACAATATCCCTTAGGAACTAAATTTACCAAAATAAAAATAATAGAGATTTATATCTATTTGGATTTCTAAAGACTAAATAGTATAACTCATCACTTTAAAGTTTTAATAAGATTTCAACATTTTCCAATATTATCTAGAAATATAACATATATGTACAAAGTTTTATATAGTACGAGTAATTGCCCGCAAAGCCTTCCACCACCAAGTTTGTAGAGTTTGAAGACCAATTTCCTCCAATTTCCACTCTACTTATACCATTATGTGTTCTCTAATGCTAGGCAACTTACAAAAGCAAAGTCTTTTGAATTGACAATTGACAATCGAAGCGGCAGCATTGCAGGTCACAGGACCAATTCTCTTCTTCTTACAACGCACACCAAGCGGAAGCTACAAAAAGAAAAAAGGAAAATTGCACTTCGAGCATTCGGGAAAGTCCCGGAACGCCATAAAGCGGGGAAAAATAAAATGCTGACCACCGCGCTGCGTTCACAACCTCTGGGATCCGCGAGCGGCTCATCGAAGAGCTCCCTCACACGCGTAATCTGGTCTCAAATCGAACAGATTATGGCCAGAGGGAGAGAAATGGTGTTGCAATTTGGCAATGATAAAAACGAAGAGCACAACCTCCCACAACCGTCAAAATGGGTTTGATGCTTTAGCGGCCAGCACGAGAGGACGGGCATGACACCTGTAGTATGCATGCGGGTCTAGTAACTTCGCGTGTTGGGGAAGTGATCTCAGCAAGCAAGCTATGGCTTGCTCTTTCTCCTGGTGGTGGACTGGGGCATGCACTCGCTATGCACAATTTGATCTGGTGGGAGCGATTTCTCCAGTGAAACTCCAAGAGCAACACTAGGGCAGGTGTTTTTTTAATTTCTAATAACGTCCCTTTGTATTTTCTGTTACAGGCGAGGTCGTGATGAATGCTCGGCAAAACTGTAAGTATTCTTTCGTGAAAAATTTGAGAACATTTTCGAATTGCATGATCTCTATAGCTTTTGAGAAGAACATTTAGTTTGCTTGCGAGATCTTCCCGTGTGCTATCGTGATCCAGCAGCGAAACTTTAGACGATCTCTTTCACACTCGAGAGCATTTGAGAAATGGATTGACAAGATCGTTCTTGCTGATGGCCAAGGTAGCAATGATGAACGCCAAGAGGACTCCTCGAGGCATTGATGTTGAGTGACTCCTGCTGGCAGGCCTAAGTAAGTAAGATTATCTTTTAGTGGAGCATAAATGAGAATCCGGTGGTGGTGCAGAGATCAGACACATCGGTGACAAATGAGATGGCTATTATCACTAGCAAGAGGTTCATGAGTAGCAAGATGTAGCAGGATGAAGTTGTTGTCCAAGTAGGCCAAAGCACACTGAAGAGATCAGCATGTTTTAATTACCCAAACTGAGGCACTATCTTGTAGAAAGAAAACCTATAATCAATTACTTTGGGTGAAAAACTAAAGCAAAAGGAATGTTTAAATCTTTAATCTAATTCAACTTAAATCTGGCTAGCAAAAATAACAAACGGTATCTCTTTATAATTTTTTTGATTTGTAAAGACACCTTTCTAAATAAAAAATAAAAATTTTAAGGAAAAGAAAAAAATCTTCTAGATATAGTGGTGTGTTTATTTAGCCATTTTGATCACTATTTAAAGTGTTCAAATATAATATATATCATATTATACTTATTAAATATATTTATGTAAAAGATAAATTAAAGTCAATAAAATCTAAAATAAAAAAGTAGCACTTTTGTTATCATGAGCCTTGATAAATATAGATTTCTGATAAAAAAAACTAACCGATTACTAAGGGAGATCTTGAGTTTTTTGTCTAGGCAATTAACCACGAGTTTTTGCAATTTTAATATAGAAATCTTATACTTTAGTTATGTTGTTTGTAAAATTGTCTTGGACATAGCAAAACTTTTTAATCATCATCAAATAAATGTAAATTAATCATCAGAAGATGGATGCAAAGTGATTACAAATGTTTGTAATGTTATTTAAAATTTTTAATGTCTTGAAGAGCCAATCTCGATGCAACATTCCAAGAAAAAGATTTGATTAGCTATCTAAATAATGTAAAACTTTTTTATATTAATTATTATTATTGATTGAGTGTTTAATTTTAATTTAAACATTAAATAATAATATGCTCTAACATCATAAAATTATATTAAATTTTTGCAACTAATATATGTTAATTACCTTTGAATTATTTATTCCAATGCCCTTACTATTAATAAATATGGTGCATGCTGTTATATATACTTTGATTGTATAAAATATTTCAACTAACCCTAGATGATATAAAATGATTTTGTAGTAGATTTTAACTACAATAAATTTTTCAATGACGAAACAATAGTTTTTTCTTTATATTATTTTAATTAAAAAGTTGTATGTAAAAAATTAAATGTTTACATTTATTTTTACATATAATATAATATACCATACCAAAATCACAAAATATAATTAATCATAAATTAAATTCTAAGAACTTATACTTTTTTATGCTTAAATCACTAGTAGCTAATAAATTTTGTTTTAAATGTTTCGGACAAAAAAATCAAATATTAAAATTTTACTTATTTGTATATTTCTCATAACTTTCAAATAATATGCAATTATCCAAATTTAATATAAAATATCTTTAATGAATTTCAACAAAACATTTAGAACATTATTAATAGATTTTAACTAATTATATATATGAATATATAACATAAAAGGATACTACAATAATACTATCCAGTATTTATATAAATCATGAAATATTATATTGGGAAAAACTTTTCAAGAAAGAAGTTTTCATTTAAAAGGTATGTGAGATTATATCTTCCACTGTACAGATAGCTTTTGATCACGAGCTTGCGTTTCCACCTTCTTTGAAGAGATAGCTTGCAACAGCTGGAGGGAGCCACAGGGAATTTCCCTTCGAATCCCCCATGAACTGAGTGATCTGGCGTTCCGCATTTGCAGCTGCGACAGATGACGATGGCGAAGACGACGCTGATCCTTCCATACTCTTCTTCCTCTCGCCACCATCGCCGCCGCCACCGCCACCGCCACCACCGCCGCCACCACCTCTAAACGGTCGGATCACCATCCCGCCAACTCTCACGGCAGCTAGAAATCCCAGGAGGCACAACGCTGGCCCGATCGCCCAATGCATCGCCTGGAGATGCTCGTACTTCTGCACAACCCCGTTGCAATCGTTGAGCCGGACTATCTCCACTTCCTCCGCGTCGGCCCAGTAGCATTTCCTGTTCCAAAGCCGCCCCGGAAAGTCCACCACCAGCGAGCCGTTTGGAAGAACACGGCTTATCTTGCCGGTCTCCCAGCCATGGTTGTTCTTCACCGGCCACTCGAATCTCGGCTCCACCACCTCGTTCTTGAGCCTCACGAACTGCCCGGCTTGGAAGGGAGAGGCCTTCACCAGCTTGTTTGGTGGTCCTTCCCACAGCGTCTCCAGTCCCAGAAACGCGGCACGGACGAGCCCGTTCTTGAGTATCTTGTGAACTATCCCCACGTTGGATGGCGATCGTCCGCTTCCTTCAGTCGACCAGCCTTCGCGGACACGGACCCAGTCGCCGGCGACGATACCGCCACAGACATGTTGTATCTCTGCTGGATCGGCCTTGAAAGTCTCTCCAGAGTCCTGGAACTTGACCAGGAAAACAGCGTTGTCCTTGTCGATCTCGATCACCGAGCCTTCAGCATCTGCCTGCTGCTGGTTCCATGCAAAGCGCGGAACGGCGACGGACGGCTTGAGCTTCACCACGTCTCCAATTTGGAAGGCGTCCCTCCAGGGGCTGCACTTTAAAAGTCCGGTATACTCCACCGGCTCCCCTGGCTTGTCGCAGAACTGGACCAGAGCAGACTCCAGTCCCTTCATCTTCTTCACAACTCCAATCTTTGAGCCTTGCTTGAACGACTTGTCGGCAACGACCACCCAGTCCGCTTCCTTGAGAAGCACATTCGGACTGCAAGCAAGAGAGTTAAGTTCGTAAATCAACTTTAAAGTGGAAGCTTTACCTCCGTAGCACGGACATAATCTCTGTGAACGTTGGACGATCACGGCGATCGGATGCCAGGCAGCTCGTCAGCATCCTCGTGAGAGCTATCGGCAAGCCGCTTGGAACCACAGGCTTGTCCCCCTTTTCAACGACGGCATGGAAGATCTCACTGGGCGACATGGTGTTCCAAGGCTTAACTCCCGTCAGCATCTCTATGAAGCTGCAAGCGAACCCCCACGAGTCCGTCTCGTAAGACACCGGTCCCCTCAGCTTGGGCTCCCACTGCTCGGGGGCCATATAGTTCGGAGTTCCCAGCCACACGA